GTTTTTGTGCTCTAAATTACCAATTCCAGTCCCTGTGTAGCTAAATAATAATAATTACCATATAAATGAATATGCATATGTGTCATTTTTCTCCTGAAAAGCAAGAGAGCCTGCTTGTTTTGGGTGAGGGTTTGTTTTGCTTTTGAACAACCAAAGCTCATAATTAGAAGCCTCGCCTCGCCCTGGAATTCTGTCTCCGTCGGGAAGAGATGAAAACGGCTCCAGATGCCCCTTGAAGGTTAAAAGAAATCTTAAAACAAATTGAAGAAGGTGGTTCTTTCCCTGCAGGAAACACTGGCTGGACACAATCACAGACACGTAGGTCAGAGGCACCTCAGTCTTCACGCACAACCCCGTTGTTGTGCAAGATGGGGAAATGGAGGCGTGAAGGAAGGAATGGTGACCAAGTCTCCAGGAGACCCCCCCCATCTATACAGGAGATACCCCATCTATACAGGAGACACCCCATCCATACAGGAGGCACCCCATTCATACAGGAGACACCCCATTCATACAGGAGACACCCCATCCATACAGGAGGCACCCCATCCATACAGGAGACACCCCATCCATACAGGAGGCACCCCATCCATACAGGAGGCACCCCATCCATACAGGAGGCACCCCATCTATACAGGAGGCACCCCATCTATACAGGAGATACCCCATCCATACAGGAGACAACCCATCCATTCAGGAGACAACCCATCCATACAGGAGGCACCCCATCCATACAGGAGATACCCCATCCATACAGGAGACATCCCATCCATACAAGAGACACCCCCTCAGTAAATGAAAGTGGAGAACAGTCATGGAAGACACTGATGTCACACTCAGGCCTCCACACACATGCAACATACACCTGCACACACTCACATGCAAGAAAAGATGGAATAAGATATAATCAAGGCATCAATTATGATATAAACACATCAATAAAAGTAGATAATAGTAGATTAATGACAGTGGGAGCTCTTGGGAAGAACTCTTGGTCAAGGAAGCCTGACCTTGAACTTGGCTTACACTGCAGGTGTACTGCAGAAAAGGCTGCATGGCTCAAGCTTGTAATAGGTTCAAGATGGGCTGCTGGACGTCAGACTGTGCTGGGGCTGGGGATGCAGCTCGGCTGGAAGAGTGACTGGTACCATATGCAAAGCCCTGGCTCCATCTCTGGCACTGCAGAAACCAGTGTGGTCCATGTCTGTAACCCAGCACTCAGGACAGGTGGGCACAAGGATCGGAGGTGCAAAGCCAGGGTGAGCTGCGTGACTCTTACGTCTCCTGGAGGGCAAGCTTGAGACATACAACTGAGATAACTGGAAACCTCAGTCTCCCCGAAACCATCAGTCCATAAAGTCTGATAGAGACCAGGAAGCCCTGACCAGCTGGGTCAGTGTCTATTTCATGTTTCATCTTTAAAGATTTATTTATGTACGTATGTCTGCACGTTTATAAGCAGCTACCCATAGAAGACAGAAGAAGTAGATACCCTGGAGCTGGAGTTACAGGCAGTTGTGAGCCACCTGATATGGTTGCTGGGAGCCGAACTCTGGTCCTCTGCAGGAGCTGCAGGTGCTCCTAATTGTTCAGCCCTCCCCAGCCCTTTGTGTCACATTCCGAATGTGTTAAAACAGAAGTGCAGCGGGGCAGCTGGGCTCATGTGAATGTATCTTGCTCCCAGGACACACAAGGCCACCCTAACTCAGCCTCAAGCATTTGTGGCTTCCACGTTTATAGCCGCCAGGATGCAGTAATGAAGAAAAACACTTACACCGATCAGTACTGTTCTGTCTGTTCTGAGACTGGAGAGGGACAGTGACTCTCAGAGCTGCCCAGCTGGCTCCAGATGACTCAGTTTCCATGCCAGCCAGTTTGTCCCCAGTTACATGACAGCAGAGTGAGCTACCCCCTTTTCCTTCTCTATTCACTCCTTGCCTCCCTCCCATCTCCTGTGTTCCCACAGTTATGACTGGGGGTGGGGTGGAGAGGAGGCCCACAGAACACCCCCACAGACCATGACAGCCAGGCCCCTTCAGGGTGACTCCTGCAACACAAGCCAGTGTATCCACCTGGACAACCCTGGATGTGTCAGTAAAGTTTTACTGGGGAGCAGCCCTACCCTTCCATTGCTCCTGAATTTAGCTGCTTTTGTATTACGTCAGAGCTGAGCGGCTGCCACACAGACACAGAAACAGCAAGCCCCAAGTGATCTCATCGCAGCAAAGTTTGTCCGAAGAGCCCCTGCTCTGGGCGCCTGCTCAAGTCTGGGCAGGAGACCACTGGCTGGCTGTGAGTGACTTGAGGTAGTAGAAAGCAAAAACACTCCAGACCACTCTTTGACCCCAAGACTTCAGCTGATACGTGACCTCTTCATAGTTCACATGACTGGAGCACACAGGGCAAGGCTGTGAAAACAGCTGCTCACTCACCACCGCACCGGGGAAAAAAAAAACACCTAAGTGATCTTCTAGATCCTGCCTGCCCCCCAAATCAATTGTTAAGGGAGGGAAGAGGAGGGATGGAGGGAGAGATACTATATCTGCACTGCACACATGTATATGTGTGTTACACAGGCTCCAGGTCTGGGCAGAATGGACTAAACACACCCTACCTTGCCATACCCACGCATTCACGCATCCTGAACACTTAAAGCAGGTACCAAGCAGGGGGTGGAAAAGGGGCCCCGAGAGAGGTCAGGGTCAGGGAGGGTGTGGGAGGATCTTCAGTCCACAGGCTTTCCTGCTGCAACCAGCGTGACTCAGAAATGGGGTCCCAAGAGACTGTAATAGATGTGCTCCTAACTCTCCCTTTCTCTAGTTTCCTACTACATAGTTCCGGTATGGGCACAGTAGTAGGAAACAGAGTCTTGGAAGAAAAATCACAACTTTCTGCCTGGAAGTGACCAGGGAGGGAGCTTAGGAAGGCAGCCCCCAGAACAGGAAGTGACCAGGGAGGGAACTTAGAAGACTGAGGAGTACAACAGGAAGTGGTGAGAAAAGGAATTTAGGAAGGCAGACTCCAGAACAGGAAGTAACCAAGGAGGATACTTAGGAAGGAAGCCCCCAGAACAGGAAGTAACCAGGAACGGTGCTGCACAGGAAGCATCAGAGTTAGCTTTTGCTACAGTGGAACTTCTAGGGCTTTTTTTTAGCACGAGGTTAATTTCACTCATGTTTGTTTGTTTTGCTTTAGGGAAATGATGATTAACCTGCTAGCCTCACTGGAATTAGAACTGCCATGGAATCACATCGCTGGGCGTCCGGGAGGGCATCTATAGAGAGGCTTAACTGAGCAGAGAAGACCCACCCTGGACAGGGCCTGGAGTCTCAGACTGAATACAAAGGAGAGAGAGAGCTGAGCACCAGCATCGTCTCTCTCCGCTTCCTGGCTGTGGATGCCACGTGACTGGTCGCCTCACATCCTGCCGCCACGCCTTCCCCAACAGCATTCCAAGGAATGTGCTGAGAAGTGAAGGCTTTGATCTCACACAGGGCCCCTGACAGGGACACAGCAAGGGATGGCCCTGCAGTCCTCACAGCACAGCTGAATACAAGATCCACATCAGAACCAAAACCCAGAGCCCCCTGGTTGGAACATGCTAGAACCCACATGAATCAATCACCTGCCAAGACAAAAACGTCAACATTCACCACAGGACAGGACTCAGGGTCTCATGACAGGAAAAGCATCCACTCAGCCCACAGAGAGCCAGGCCAGCCCTGACTCACGTGGAGGAAGAGAGATTCCATCACTGTGGGACCAACAGTGGAATCAAGGGCTGGAATCATTCGCCAAACCAAGGCTCTAAAGCAGATAGTTTGTGCAGTGTTTTTTAAGTCAGTCTAGTAAATGATGGGAAGATCGGAGTCTTGGCAAAGAAGTCAGAGGCAGAAAGAAGAACCAACTGAAATTTTAGGACTGAGAAAAATAATAGCCCAAATAAAGACCTCACCAGGTGGGCTCAGAGGGGGAAGGGGATGGGATTGGAAGGGTTACGGAGCCTGATGACATCTGATAAGCAGAGAAAATGAAAATGGAAGAGAGCCCTAGGGGCCTATGACCAACAGGTGTGTCACTGGAGCGCCCGAGAAGGGCACCAGGAACAAGTGGGGTCAACGATGTGAGTACAGCCTTCTTGGCTGTAACTGCCATTCTGCCATCGGGTCACCCTGCTGCATCCCGAGCTCTAGAGGACAGGGTCATCCAGACAGACAGCATGTGCGTGCATGGCCCTGGAGCTGGCCTTGCTTTTCAACCCATGCTGGGCATGTGAGTAGGTTTTGGGAAACGCCAGGCACACTGTGCATTAGGGAGCTGCCTGGGTTGCTGTTATTGAACACACGCCTCTGTTCCAGGTTTCCTCTGATCTCTCTTGCTCTGACTCTGGGCCTGTCTGCCCATTTGTGGATCGCTCTCAAACACTGGACCAGGCTTCTGAAACTGTGCAGGGAATGATTTAAAGTATAAAAGTTGGGGCTGGAGTGAGGGCTCTGTGGTTAAAAGCCCTGGCAGATCTTCTAAAGGGCCAGGGTTCAGTGCCCAGCACTCCATCATACAACTCACAACTGTCTGTGACTCCAGTTACAGAGGATCTTATGCCCTCTCCTGGCCTCCATGGGCACTGCACCCATGTGGTGCACATACATACACTCAGACATAAAATAAAAATAAATAATTTTTTTTTAGAAAGATTAAAAGTCAAAGACCTTGGACACTTCAGTGTCACTAGCTGGGTCCCTTGGCCCCTCTCCCATGTATACTTTGGCAGTTTCATCTTGCTGGCTGTTCTAGAATGGCTCAGAGTAGGTTAGCTGTCCCTATAGGCTCCCCAACAGAATTGTCAACTACCACAGCTACTCTGGCGCCCATGACTACAGACTGACATTTGCTCAGCTTCTAGTTGCCAGCTTTACCTCTCCGTCACCTCACAGATGGATGTATCCCTTCCCCCTTATCCTGGCAACCACCCGGAGGCACGCAGTGCCACACAGTCTTACCCTCCTGAGGCAGTCGTCCTCATTCAGGCGCTCCTGGACCAGGCTGATGAGCATCGAATTGGGAATCCTCTGGAGGAGAGACACACGGTGTGAGGTCCCCAACCCTAGCCTGGTGTGGGGGGGCAGACATGGGCCGCACCCTTGACGGGGCCCCTGAGCATTCTCCCCATAGAAGGTATACCCATACCATCCCTTCCACATTCTTGAATGTTTTACTACCCAACGCCATGCCTACATCATGGGGAAGCAGCAGGCTTCCCCAACCCTCAGGGTCCCTGTGGCTCGTGAGTGCACAACACACGCTGTTCTACGCCCCATGAATCCAGATAACAGGCTGTTGAAGGATGTGTCTGTGGTTCCCAGTAGTGGTGATGCTCCTCAATGAAAGGAATGGTGTCTTTGGCCTCTGAACCCCACACAAGGTAGGAATGGGAGCCAGTTGGCTGAGGCTTGAGGGGGTGTGCACACCTCTCTCCAACCGCACATTTGATGACTTCACACTGCTGACCAAAAGCTGACTTTGATGAGAGTGTTCACACCACTGGGCAAATGACAGAAGGTCTTACCCCAAAGAACTGGGCATCAATGTTGACCAACAGACAATGGTGCCAGCATCAGAATAGCGCCAATGACACATTCCTGGAAGCCTGACTTTTATGTGTCAATAACGCATGAGAATCATGAACCACAGCTAGGACCTTCACCTCAGGTGCCACCTACCTTTGTTTTTGTTTGTTTGTGTTTTCTTCTTCTCTCATTGGCCTGGAACACTCCAACTAGGTTTGGCTGACTCCCTAGCCCCAGGACCCTTCCTATCTCTATCTCCTCAGTGCTGGGATTACAAGTATGCATGATATGTGTCTGGTTTTTTTGTTTTTGTTTTTTTGAGACAGGGTTTCTCTGTAGCATTGGAGCCTGTCCTGTCCTGGAACTTGCTTTGTAGACCAGGCTAGCCTCGAACTCGCAGAGATCTGCCTGCCTCTGCCTTCTGAGTGCTGGGATTAAAGGTGCGTGCCACCACTGCCTGGCGTGCCTGGCTTTTTAATATGGGTGCTGGGGATTGAACTCAGGTCCTCATGCTTGTACAGCAAGCACTCTACCTACTTAGCTATCTCCCCAGCACCACCTCCCATGACCCCTGGTTTCTTTAACTCCTATGTAGCCAAGGATGACCTTGAACGACTGAGCCTACTGCCTCTATACCTCCCCATGCTCGGATTACTGGGATCTAATCTAGGACCTGATGCATGCTAGGCAAGCAGTCTACTTAAGGGAGCCACATCTTCAGCCCAGACAGTGTGTTCCTGGAACCTGCCCCAGGAGTTCTGAATTTGAGAGCCTGCATTTCCAACATGGTCCCAAGAGATGGCATTGCACCTAGACTGGGACCTCACATGGAGAGCCTGTAGCCTAAAGTGACCTCAGAGTCAAAGGGTCCACCAGGCTTGGAGCCACTGACCAGTGAGGCCGCCTTTTTGTTGGTGCCCACATCCTCCAACGGAGCTCCCCAGGGTTGGCAATAAAGAGGGAGTGGATAGGTAGCACCTTCTCTTCCCGTCCCCTCCCTGCCAGAGCAGTTTGCATGCCTGGGCCATGTTCCCAGGGCTCAACCCCCTCCCTGATGCCATCTACTCACGCAGCATTCAGACAAGTAAAGGAACACAAGAAGCAGCTGCCCAGAAGCACAGAATCTAAGCACTCAAAGGACACAGTTGAAAGGTGGCAGGCCCGGGTGGGGTGCATGCCTCTGGATGCCTTCCCAGCAGGGGCTAGGTGGTGGCTTTGAGGAAAGCCCATCCCAAATGCCCCCTGCTGTCCCCTGCCACTGTGCTGTCTGGATGGCAGCTTTGATGTGTCACATCATCACAGGGGCTTCTGGGCTGTTTCCAGAAGCCCTGCCAGACTGTCTTTGCAGGAGTCAGGCCGCCTCCTTCCAGAACCTGGTAACTCATCCTCCCCCTCCACCATCACCCAGGCCTGGCTTACGGAGAGAGAAAGAGACAAGTAGTTGGAGCCCTTGTGGTTTCTCCTGGGCACAGCCGTAAGTGCCCAGTTAATGTGGGATTCCCCTCTGTATGCTGTGAATATCATTGGTTAATAAAGAAAACTGGCTTGGCCTGATAGGGTAGAACAGAGCTAGGCAGGGAAACTAAACTGAATGCTGGGAGAAAGAAGGAGGAGTTAGGAGAGAAGCCATGCAGCCCCACCTGGGAACTTCACCCGGTATGCCACAGCCACGTGGCGATACACAGGTTACTAGAAATGGGTTAAATTAAGATATGTGTTAGCCAAGCTAATGGGCCAAGCAGTGTTTTAAATAATATAGTTTCTCTGTGGTTATTTCAGTTCTGAGCTGCCAGGTAGCCGGGAAACAAACAAGCGGCCCTCCTCATAACACCCAGACTCATAACACCATAACACCCAGTCTGCTTTCTTGATTGCTTAGGGACAGCATTGGCTGCATCTACTTCAGCCGGTCTGGGTTTTGTTCTCTTCCCAGCAGCTTCTAGTGCCGCCTCTAGCAGCAGTGGGGCCCAGTGGTGGGATGACTGGTGTGCCACCCCAGTGTACCTTTGTCTCTTGAAGGACATGCTGGATGCTTGGAGGTGCCAGGCAATTGGGCTGTGCCTGGTGCTGCCCATAAGACCACTTAACTTCCTGGATTGGTCTTCATTTCACGCGGGAATGGCATGAGTTTGGGTCACTTATCACCAGGGTCCACTCTCGGGGACCCTAATGTCCCTGGGTCACCTAGGTGGGCACGTCAATGCACAGAACAGACTCTAACAGCATAGCAGGAGGGGAGGAGCTGAAAGCCCCCGGTCTGCCTTCCACAGATAGCTCTGTCAGAATGGTCAAGGACCTTTCCCCGGTCCAGAAGTTAGGAGTGAGTAAAGGCACTTGCCACCGTGCATCCTGATGACCCAAGTTCAATTCTTGGTGGAAAGAAAATCTATTCTTCCAAGTTGTTCTCTGACCTCCACAAGTGCCTTGGAGCCTACATGAGTGCACACTTGCGCATACGCATGCACATACACACATAATATAATTTAAAAGTAAAAATTTGTTTTCTTTTGTTTAAAAGAACATTTTCCAGATTCTTATGCAAAGCTCAGCTGCTGCAAGTTAGCAGGAAATTAAGGATTGGCAGAACAACCGCTCCTAAGACTCTGGAGGGAGAGGCAGAAGTTGGGGGACAGGGGACAAGAAGAAGGAGGGAATGAGAGAGGCAGAGTCCACCACAAGGCAGCCAGTGACACCTAAGGAGGGACAGGCAGTGTTGGCCCTGGGATTCGGGAGGCTATCAGACTAGCACAGAAGCCAGCAACCAGGTTTTGAATATGTAGACACAAAGCTGGACCCAGAGGCACAGGCTTGTAGTCTCTAGACCCCGGGAAGTGCAGGCCAGCGCATCAGAAGTTGGAGCTCAGAGTCAGCCTGGGATGCAAGGGGAAAATACATTGTGAACGCCGTGGAGACCTGAATTAGGAATAACCCAACATTCCAAACTCAGGTCACTTATTCACTCCACAAAAAAGGCAGCTCTGCTCCGATGCCACACGTTTCAGAGGACACCCAGACACAGCAATTATGACGTAAATAACTGCGGTGACAGAGGGGAGTCTGCTGGGTGGGGCTGGACCTCTCGTCTCACAATTCCCGAGAGGGTGTCTTTAAAGGTTGTGCCTTGATCCCACTCCTCAGGACTGGCTCTAAAGGCACAAGGCCGGGCCAGGCCACAGGTGGTTTATAAGGCGCCTGGGGCAGAAGGGGACTGTGCTGCTGGAACTGGGTGGAGGGGACCCTGGGGTAGGCAGTTTGCACTTCCTGCAGAGAATCCAATCCTAAAGCTGTGAGGCCTGACTTGGGAGCCGCTGAAGCCAGGACCTGGCCCGTGAGGGTCTCAAATCTCCTTCACATCTTTGTCGTATAAACAAAGAGCCATGCGATCCTCAGTGTCTTGGGGGACAGTTCTGCCCATTATGGCGTCCTGACACTTCGATTCCAGGATCCTCCATGTCTGGCAGCATCACAGCCCTGCTCTTAGAAAAGCCTTGAATGAACCTTAGCTCCGCAGTCTGGGCACACCTCCCAGGCTTTACCTGTGGCTCAGCAGGTGGCTGGGTCACGTGTCTATTGTCTATCCTGGGTCACGTGTCTATTGTCTATCCTGGGTCACATGTCTATTGTCTATCCTGGGTCACATGTCTATTGTCTATCCTGGGTCACATGTCTATTGTCTATCCTGGGTCCGTGTCTATTGTCTATCCTGGGTCACGTGTCTATTGTCTATCCTGGGTCACGTGTCTATTGTCTATCCTGGGTCACCTGTCTATTGTCTATCCTGGGTCACATGTCTATTGTCTATCCGCTGTCTCTACCTGCTGCTGTCTCCTTTAATCTCTCTGGTTTTGACAAAAAGGTGTCCTTTGGCAAGGTGGATGACTGAAGGTCACAAGTCTGACTTGAAGGTCAAATGTGCTTGTGTTTCTGTCTCACAAGCGAGCCAGCCCAGCTGACGTATTATATGGCTTCATGCCCTGGGGTCTAAGCACTAGAAGGGCCAACAGGCCTTGACTGTGGCCAGGACACTGGGCAAATGTGGCTCTGAGATGGTGGGGCTGAGGGGACCTGGATGGTGGCCCATACGCTGAGTATCAGCAGACCCGAGGGTGCCACAGGAGGAGGACGGAGCCTGGACCTCAGAGAAGAATGCCAAGACACATCCCCACTCTTTGACCCAAAGGGAATTTTGGAAAAAAAAAAATCTTTGCATTTGATTACAGAGAAACAGTGTGCTGAAATACAAGACAAGGAGGTAAACGAGGCAGAGATGCCAGCCAGTCTAGGTGGGTTCCAGGTTCACTGAGAGACCCGGCTGAAAAAGAACATGTCTGAGCGTGATTGAGGAACACACTCCTCATCAACCTCCGGTTTTCACACACATGCATGTGCAGCATCATGTATGCACACACACACACACACACTCATACACCAAACACACAAAAACCAATTTTTAAAAGACACTTGGCTATCTGGGCATTGTTGGGGGCACAGAGGTCCTGTACTCACAGACAAGCACCAAGAGAACCAGGAATATTAATCACGCAGGGATGTCTTCTCCATGGAGGAGATAAAGTCAAATACCCACAACCTATCTGGAAAGTCAAGAGTGGATTCTATTAACGACCTGGTGACCTTTTTGCTATCTGTGGAGACTTCACCCATCTTTTGCTATAGGTGCAGGCCTCACCCTAATTTCCCAGGATGATTATCCCAGACTCTTCCCTCCTTAGACCCTTACCCATCCTTAGGGGAGATGCCACATGTGCCGTATGTCCTGGTGACCTGTATGCTATCGGTCAGAGATCATTGGTGGGAAATATTAGTTTCAGGTGTGTTGCTTTTGTTTATATTGCATTTGTTTAAGTCTGTGAAGCTGTGATTCTTGGCCTGTCTAAAACCCCTGATGGTCTAATGAAGAGCTGAACAGCCAATAGCAAGGCAGGAGCAAGGACAGGCTGAGCAGGCAAAAAATATAAATAGAAGGAGCCCCTAGGAAGAGAGGAGCAGAGAGCGAGGAGAGAAGGATGTCAGGGGCCAGCCTCGGCGTCAGAGTGAAAGTAAAGTATACAGAAGTAAGAAAGGTAAAAGCCCAGAGAGAAAAGGTGGACGGGATAACTTAAAATAAGAAAAGTTGGCAAGAAAGTCAAGCTAAGGCCAGGCATTCATAACTAAGAATAAGCCTTCTTGTGTGATTTATTTGGGACCTGGGTGGCAGGCCCCGCAAACGAGCCAAAAGATTAAAACCACTACAACAGACCACACTAGATTGTAGGCCTTTTAGCCACAGAGCCCACCCTTATGGTCACACCTACTATATAAAAGAATCCCTTTGTAGGCGCATGTGCACCTGGAATTGCACTGATTGGGCTGACTGTTGCCTGGAAACCTTTACCCCAACTGTACTGTTAGAATATGCTGATAATGAACCGCCTGACATTAGACTCCCAGAAGTCTGATCCAGTCTGACAAAGTCTGCACTGGGTTTTAACTCATCTCTTTGGTGGTTCACATCCCTGTATGGCACTTGCAGGGACCCCAGAGGACACGGTGTGTGCTGCTAATCCCAGCACTTGAAAGGCTGTCAGGTCTGGGCTGGGGTTATTTGGCGAACACAACAAAGCTGGTAGGGTCTGGGAAACAGCAGTCTCAATCCTTGTGGGCTGCACCAGGAACAAAAGCATGAATGGGAAGCACTGAGGGTGGACACAGGGCCATGGGGAACCCTACAGCGTCAGAGAAACACTTCCAAAGTCTAGCATGGGGTTGCTGTGTCTGATGGCCACCCCTGAAATCACAGCGCAGCCCAGTCCCGCAGTCCAGGTATGGCCACCAGGCCCCCTCTGTGGGATGAAGATGCGCTGCCCCCACCCCTTCCTCACTGGACTGGACTACGGTGTCTTAACCAGGACAAATCATTGCTCTTTACCTGCTTTCCTTCAAGGAAGGGCCTGGCCTCTAAATTCCCCCTTTCTTCTGTCATATCTGCCTGCATCTTATTTTACCCAAGACTCATTCAGTTCATTCAAAAGAAAATGGAGGACTGGATAGACGGCTCAGTGGTCAGGAGCACTTGATTCTCCTCCAGAAGACCCGAGTTCAGTTTCCAGCATCCACATTAGGTGGCTCACAACCACTTTTAACTCCAGCTCTGGGGGATCTGATGCCCTCTGAAGGCCTCTGAGGGAGTGCGCACACACACATGAAGAAATCATCTAAAATATATTTTTAAAAAGAAGAAGATGGAAGTTAGCCAAGTGAATAGGAAGGTGGAATTCTGAAGCCACAGCTGCCCTAGCCCTGGCCCTGGCCCAGGGGCCAAGCTTACCTTGTAAATCTCGTAGTGTTTCTTGGCTTCCTCAGCCATTTGGGAAAACTCTTTATTTAGTAAGTTCTCCTTGGTGATGAGATTGCTGTTGAGGTGTTTGCAGAGCCACATTGCCTGAAGAAATGAAAACAAACACCTTAGGTATAACTCCACTGGGTGGGGGCGATGGCTCAGTCAGTGAAGTGCTTTCCTTGCAAGGAGAAAGACCTGAGTTCAACCCCTGGAACCCATATAACAATTCCTGGCATGACGGCACACTTGTAACCCCAGTGCTGTGAAGGTGGAGACAGGAGCATCCCTGGGGCTTACTGGTCAGGCAGTCTAGACTACTAGCAAGTTCCAGGCCAGTGAGACCCAGTTTCTGAGGAGGTAGATGACGCTAATGAGTGTAATTCAAAGACATCCTCTGGTCTACAAGCATACACACACACACAGTTGCACAGACACACACAGACAACACAAACACACACACACAAATACACACAGAGATATATACACACATAGAGATACACAGACACAGAGACACACACAAGGCCGGGTATGGTAGCATGTGGCTGTAACACTAACATTTGGAAGCTGAAACAGGAGAATTGTTAAGTTTGAGGCCAACTTGAACAAACAAAAAACAAAACGAAACGAAACAAAAACCAATGGAATTAAATCTGCCAAATCCTTCTGTATTCCGTTAGAAAAAGATGGCTGAGGAGTCGGGGCAGTAGCTGGGCAGTGAAGAAAAAGCTGGCCATGGGAAACAGTCATTTGTGGGTGGCTGGAGGAGGCCCCCCCAGCAGCAGACATAGCCGGTTCACCCAGCATTGGCTCTGTGTGGCCGTCCGCCCCTGGGTCTTCCTGAGCTCTGTGGACCACGAGGAAGAGGTGGAGGTAGGCCTCTGTGCTCCTCACCTGCTGTGCCCAGCAAATCCCTCCTAGGGATCAGAGAGGACCGGTTACCTAAAGGACAGCTGCCCTGTTGCTGAGAACACAGCTCACTAAGGGAGCCCAGCAGGTGCCTAGATGCATTAGGTCATCATGGATCCCAGCCTCAAGATCACTGGCCATCCAGGCCCAGCCCCAGGGGTGACCACAGCCTCTGTAGGAGACCCCTGGAACCTGCAGTTTTCAAAGCTCTGGCAATACCAAAAATAGACAAGTGGGGGAACCCCTGTCTCTAAAAATAGCACAATGGCGGTGGCGGCATTCAGGGAGGCTGACGAGAAAGGAGGAGAACAAAACAGGAAAACTGCATATGGAGGCACAGAAGGCTGGAGAGACAGACGGACAGACGAATGACAACAGCTTCATTAACCCTCACAGTGCAGCACACACAGGTGTCTTGTGCAAGGATCACCCATCTTAGTTCCTTTTTGAGGTAAAGTGCTCAGTGGGCAAGAGACAGCCTAAGCCTACTGTCACCCAAGCTTAGAAGGTAGAGAAAGCCCTCAGATTGTCATAATTCTACTACACCTGTGGAATTTAACAGCTACAACCAGGGACTAGCTTGGTGTGTTGGGGTGCCCGATGCCAATCTTGACAACTTGAGTTGGATCCTAGGGACCCACATGGTAGAAAGAGAGAATCAACTCCTATAAGTTTCCCTCTGACCTCTATATATGCACTATGGCTCATGTATGCCTCCCCCCAAATAATGCACATGTGTGCATGTACACACATACAAATAAGTAAGATGTAATAAAAGTTAAAAAAAAAAAAAAAAGAAAGCCTGCCGGGTCGTGGTGGCGCACGCCTTTAATCCCAGCACTAAAAGGCAGAGGCCTTTGCCCTTCCCACTTCAGCTATTTCTCAGTCCACACTGAGACTCCATAACCGGTGCCCCTAACATATGCAGGCCGTTGGCCCAGAATTCCTTCTAGAAATGAATTCTTCAGCTACAGCTGGGGGAAGGCCCCGGTGGTTCTGAGGTATCTCCTGAGTACTGCTAAGGTGTATCCAGGAGAGGACCCCAGGGTGCCTCTGAGGTGTAAGCAGGCAAGGGGTGGTGCCCACGTGTTAGGCAGCGCTCGTCCCTGAAGGGCTGTGTGACTGTCGTTTTCTATATTCTGAATTCCCACCTGTGGTGGTTTGAATGAAAATGGCCCCCATAGGCTCTGAGGGACTGGCACCATTCGGAGGGGTGACCTTGCTGGAGAAAGTGTCACCGGGGTGGGCTGTGAGGTTTCAGGAGCTCAAGTCAGGCCCAGCGGCTCACTTGCTCTTCCTGCTTCCTGCTGATCCAGGTGTAGAACTCGCGGCTACCTCTCCAGCACCAAGTCTTCCTGCATGCTGTCACGCTTCCAGCCATAAGGATAAGGAACTAAACCTCTGAACTGTAAGCAAACCCCAGTTAATTGCTTTCCTTGTAAGAGTTGCTGTGGTCAGGGTGTCTCTTCACAACAATAGAAACCTTAACTAAGACCCTGGCTATGAACACACACTGCCATGTACAATGAGAAAGTGGGCAGGAAGAGGAGAAAAGGGCAGGCAGGTGGTGCACGCCAGTGCACAGCTTCCTGTCCACCGGAGCATGAATGACACCTTCTAGAACCACATTTAATCTAATGCACTTACGATGGTGGTTTTCCCTGAGGCAGGTGGACCTAATATCACGACCTTCGGCACTGTGGAAGAAAAAGATTTGGCTGTCAGCGCTGGGCGTGACAAAGCGGCCTCCCCTGTCTGTGCTGCATTGGGTCTATTTCTTTCCTCCCCAGATTTCATTTCTGCCAGTGACACGGTCATTCATAATCCTGAGGCTGGGAGACGCTCGCGCCCCAGAACGCATTCTCTGTGTTTAGAGAGGTAAGCGATCACAGAGATGGTTTATTTTTCTGTCTCCGCGGGGACACGGACACAGTAACTTGTTCGCCAAACTAATGAATATCAAAAACAATTGGGATTTTCAAATGCCATAAAGCATTTTAAACAGGGACTTTGTCTTGGGAACACTCTTTCAAATAAAGTTGTATTTTATGTAAATCGACCTTTGATGCTTTTTATATATATATATATTTATGCCTTCTTATTTAGCAGAATGTATCTCCCACACACACCCCGTCAATTTATAGAAGAAAATAGTGAAAGAAGCCTGCAGTGTATGGGTCAGATTTATAAAACCCAAGGCAGGGAAGTCTGTGTTTTCGAATGCAGGCATTTCTAGGCAAATTTTTTAAAACCCTGGCAGCTTATTTGTGGCTGTAAGTCCTGGCTCTGGGATAGTCTTGGTTCTACAGAAGCCCTGGAGTGTCATCTGGGATACCATGGAACAGTTGCTGGTAACTGGAAGAGAGAGAAGCCTATTGCAGTAAAAGGGTGGGATGGGGTACCAACAAGGTCAGATGGACACCCGAGCCCAGGATGGCTGCCAGTGAAGTGTCCTAAAGATGTCACCTCCATATTACTTGTCCAGAATGGGTCCCCTGAGCCTTAGGACACACGGATGCTGTCTACCCAACTCTCTCGAGGCTCAGCTACCCACGTGGAGCTGGAAGGACTTCTCTGTGCACAGGAGAAGCATGGATGACTCTGGGGACAGACACGGAGATGGAACCAGACAGTATCCTTTAGGCCAGCAGTTTAGAGGCCAGCACATGGTCACTCCGCTAGACTGCTTGGGTTCAAATAGATCTCGGCCCCAATTCCCAGCACCTCTTCGATTCCGAGGTGCAGGTGGAGAAGAGTGTGAGATGACACCCTCCCCCCGCCCCGCCTCACCGCCAGAACTCTGAAAATTTCACAAGTAGCACAGGACCCATCAGAGAGAGGATGGGATTGCGGACGTATTGGGGCTCCACGTGGCGGGCAGGCTAGCAAAGTGAGCCCGACACTCTGGGTACCACAGTGCTCTGCTGGCCTGAGTCCCAGGATCTTTGGGGTTCCCTTGGACCTTCAGGGGTATAGCTTCCAGAAGGCTCAGATGGGCCCTGTTTATCCTAATAGCCTTGGGGCTCAGAGAATCCCCAAGGGAACCCCCTAATGACTCCCTCCACTGAGAGTCCTAGGGCAGCCCCTTTCTTCCCAGATGATGCTAACATATGTCCACTTATTGCCTGTCATTCCCTGTCAAGAATGTCTTTGCCTCAGCCCAGCCAAGGGACACTCTGGGCCCTACTGTTTAGCTTCTTCCTGCTGAGGCTACACCAGGTTCCACTGTGGAGGAACTGGCTCAGCTACTTGTAGCTGCTTCTCTTCCACTGCAGTAAGCTTCATCAGCAACCTAAAAACAGGGGCACTGCTGTCCCCAGGAAATGGCCAGCTCTCGGAGGACAGGTACAAAGTCTTATCCACATGAACCTTTCCACAGAGGTTAATATTGCAGGGCCACCCACACAGCAGAAACTGCAGTGGCCACCTCAGCTATCCCCTGGGCCTTGATGAGACCACTGAGAGTCACCATTGCTGCCACCTACAAAAGGCTCCCTTTGCCAGTCAGCATTGTAGGGAACTGCAAAGGACCCATGGGTGGCCAAGTTGAGCCAGGCTCTAGTAAAAGAACAGAGAATCACAGAATCCAACACAGCTGGGGAGCCATGCCAGGGCTACCCCGCCAGGAAGGATACTCCAAACAAGGCCACAAATGGCCTGGAGGAAGAAGACTGCTGTTCCAGGCACTGATGCCACAGCCTTTGTCCTTGATGCTCTGCAGTTCACAGGGTTGCCACCAGCCACCACCATCCAGGAACCATGCCTGGCAGAGCCGCTGGTGAAGGGCGGAGGGTGGGCACAACACACGACACAGGCTGTTGTAAGAGCTGGGGGCATTTTTCAGCATTGGCGCAGGGCTCAGGGCAGGGAGCAAGGAATCCATTTCTACTCCAAGACACAGGCCAAGGCAAGGCCTCTCATGCCTCGCCTCTATCTGAGTGAGAGCTGTCATAGCAGGTGGAAACACCATTTGCAGCCCAAGTATGGAAATGAGGTGACTCTGTGGACATTAGGTCCAGGGAAGAGGATGGTGGGATTGGAGCCAGAGTTTAATCTAGAGTTTGGAGAGCAGCAGGGAGGGTGACCAAAGGCAGAGAGGAACAGGAACTGTTATGACTATAGAGAGAGTGCCTGCCCGGCCAAAGTCAGGATGCGGGAGGCTGCTGTGCCAGCCTGCACTGGTGCCCATGCGAGCCCGCACTGGCATCCCCCAGGGTTCCGGGATGGCAGTGCTGGAAGGTAGACGCATCTCACACTGAGCGTGTAACCAGGACATCCAGCCATGAAGTCCAGCTCCTAGCCAGTATGTTCATTTTGGCAAAGGCCATGGGCGGGGGGCTACAGGGGGAAATGTTCCTCCCCTCCGTTCCCAGCTCCTGTAAGTGGCGCCCAAATTATACACGCCTAAGAAAATACTTTAAAGAGGAACATCGTGGCCCTTCTTCCCTCCCCGTTTCTCATACTCGCTTATGTGATTAATTTCAGTTTCTTAAAATCTAACTTGAAACTCCAGCCTAGCTCATGAGTAATTATTTATAAACAGTGTCATAAAAGGCTGCTTGACTGCCAAGAGTAATCAGACTCCTCCAAGCACTTCAAAGGGAATCAAAGAACCTTTCCATCCATGAAGCCTTTGGAGGCTTAACTAGGAACACGATTTAAAATTCACAAGGAACCCCTCAGGTATCAGAACTCCAATACAAGGCTTTCCTGGACAAGCGTTTGATAAGAAGCGAAACGCTCCATTATATCCACCGCTGCCTGTGCTAATATTGCCCAGGGCCACCGTAAATGCTCACTTTGTACTAAATGCTTTTCTCGAGGCAAAGGGGCTGCTAGCCCGAGTGTGGGGGCTCCTTCCCTCCCTCCAGGACATGCTCAACAGGCTGGGATGAGTTCCTCCTCCCATGTCAGTCGCTGGTCAGTGTTTCGTGTGCCCAGGTTTGTCCTGCTGCCAGCAAGCAGGAAGGTGGCTCTGGTGACTAGAAGGCAAGCAACTCTTACCGCTGCCCAGAGGTGTGAGGGAAATGCAGGCTGGATGGCATGGGACCCTGCTAAGTTCCAGAGGGGCATAGCTCAAGCTGATCCCACGTGTCTTGTCTTAGACACCCTAGAAAAATCACAACAGCAAGGTGGCCTCCCTCTACCCATTGTTTAGCCTTGCTTTTCTGGGAATGAAAGTCTATGAAGACCCCATCCAAAGACACAGATGTCCCATAAATGCTCAGCCAAGGCCTGAGACCACGGTGGAGAACCGGGGGATAATTAAGCCTCTGAAGCCGTGGTTATGGGACCCAGCATGAGTCCTGAAGAGCTTCCGTGCTAGAAGGAGACACCCATCCAGATGACGCGTGGGAGGCTGACCATGGCGAGGAGTCCCCAACATAGGCCTGGATTCCACTCCCTGCAGCAGAGGGTGCTGTGTGGAATAAAGAGAGGACTCCATGAAGAGCAGTCTGCAAAGCCACAACCCTGGAGATGCGTGGTAGGTGACCACGAGCAGATTGTCACACAGGGAGGAGCTAGCCATCCAGCAGGCAGCAGCTGTACTTGGTCAGACCAGGATGATGACACGGGGACTTGAGAAGGCTGGTGCAGGGCACCTGATGCTGAAACACTAACCTGTAGTCACCTAGTAGTACTAAGACAGGAAGAGCAGGCAAAGCAGCCTCAAGTTCCAAGCTTTCACACCCGGCCTGAGGTTTAAAGAAGCCTGTAGGTTATTAGTTCAAAAAATTTCCCCCACGGTGGGGCATGGAGAGAGCTCAGTCACTAGGAGCACTGGCTGCTTTAGCCAAGGGCCTGGATTCAATTACCAGCACCCACATGGTGGCTCATCTGTAATTCCAGTTCTAGGGGATCCAATGCCCTCTTCTGGCCTCAATGGGTACTGCATGTACATGATACACAGACATACACATACAGGCAAATACACAAAAAAGAAACAAAAATAAACCTTAAAAAAAAAAAATCCTCCAAGAGGCATACCCACCCAAACAGGACATTCATACCAACAGTAAATAGGGCAATGAAGAATTTACAGCACAGTATAGTGACCAACCAACAAGGGAGGGGCAGAGAGAATTGCCCGGGACAGGGTATGTAAGGCTGGAAGAAGGAGGTGGAGTTCTAGGGGACCGAGTTCCCTGACTCTCTCCTGTCACAGCTCAGTTTCCACCACCCCCTGGTCAAAACCTCGACAGAGTACTCGGGTACCCAGACTCAGCTATTCCTGCCTTGAAAGAGCCTCAGAAAAGGACACTGTTGGGGCTCCCTTTTAACTCCCTGCTGGGGTCCATGTGCTAGACTTGAGCTAGAAGAGGACCCTCATGTCTACCAAGGTGCAGGGGCAGGACATGTGAGGAAGGCTGGTGATCTGAACACATCCACAGGCATGGAGCCTGCTCCAGCTACCTGGGCACATCCGCAGGCATGGAGCCTGCTCCGGCTACCTGGGCGCATCCGCAGGCATAGAGCCTGCTCCGGCTACCTGGGCACATCCGCAGGCATGGAGCCTACTCCAGCTACCTTTAAAAGTGGGTTTCTAAAGATTTGTTCCAGTTTTATTTCTATTGCTAACTGATAAGATACTATGACAAAAGAGATGTCCTGTTTTTCAGAGCAGGGTTTCTCTGTGTAGCCCTGGTTGTCCTGGAACTCACTATGAAGACCAGGAAGGCTTCGAACTCAGGAATCTACCTGCTTCTGCTTCCTGAGTGCTGGGATTAAAGGCACATGCCTCCATACCCAGCTCAAACATAAACCTAACTTTTATTAGGTGATTTAGCATCATTTTGGACTGTAAGCATCCCAGTTTCACCATGGGTGCATCTCAAGCCTTGAATGCTAATTTTAGTGGAAGATAAAGCTTCCTCAGGACTGCTAGTGGACCAACCGTTTACAACCAACAAGACAGCAGATCCCCAAGTGGCTCACCCAGGGTAGAAGAATCCTCCCTCTACCTGGCAAATCTACCACTATGGGATGCAGGAAGTGGCCCAGCTCATTGGAGGGCCTTTCTCTTCCCAGCTCTGCATGTGAGCCTCCGGTCTGGCCAACCCGCTTTTGGCTGAGGTCTGGGGAGTTCGGCAACTCATTAGCAGGTACTGATAATGAGACCCTTGGAAAAGTCCGAGTGCTTGCCTGTCTAGGTAGAGCAGAAAGCAAACTTCACCTGACAAGCAGAGTGATCAGAGAGCTTAAACCCAACAGGCGACATCGGTGAGGGCAGGCAGAAGCATTAATAATTGATTACATGGGTCGTTCTGGGCTTTGCATTTTAATAGCTTGGCAAGAGAGCTTTTCTTAGACTCAGAAAGAACAAGAAGGCCTTCTCCAATTAACAACTGCAACTTGTCCAAGTACCCTCCCCTTCCTGTCCTATTCTGATCTCCCTTCAGACACAGCTAGGAACAGAGGGCTTCTGGGCTGCAGCCAGGATGGGTAGGGTCCCTGGTGGAGATGGTGGCACACACACTGGAGTGAGTACTCACCGCCGTCATTGTTCCGGCGCAGGTGGTTGATCATGAAGGAGATGGGTTCCTCCGGCTGGTGGATCAGGACCTGCTCCAGCATGTTCTGTGGGCACAAGCAGATAGCAGGAGATTAACACCTGCAGGGCCCCTGGTTGCCATGGAGATCACCTAGTGGGGCATCTGCTGGGGTCGCTGGCAGCAGAGGCCTGAGGAAGTCTAAGCAGCAAGCCTCCCACCCCTTCTCCCTTTGTGCTTCCCACACAAGCCTTCCCTTGGTCCTGCACTGTTGCCCTGATGCAGGGCCGTAGTGATAGGTGGCCTTCCAGAATGCTTCCTGTTCCTTGACCTGGCTACTTGACCATCAGATCACGGTGCACCCAGGTAAATCCCTACCGCTCCATGCTTCTGCACAGGCCTGCCATGTGCACCTGTGTTCCCTGCCTCACCTCACACCTGCTCTACCTCTCCACGGGTTCTGGAGGCCTCCCTGTCTGCACAATTGCAACAGGTGCCCAGTGCAGATGTTAGCTGCTCCACAGTGGGACAGGATACTTGTCAGCCAAATATCTACAGTCTTGAGTACCCAGGCCATTTCATCCAACTGAGTAAGTGTATCTGAAAAAGCCATTGTCAGGGTGGCACCAGGAACCTGGAGAGTTGACTGGAGCTGGGCGGCAGAGCGGGTAGGAAGGGGCTTCCACTTATGAGGACAGGTGTGCAGGGCAGTCGAGGGCAGCAATGGGAAGCCCCGTTCCAGCGCATCTCTAGATCTCACCAGCAATTCTCTTCCTTTCTTAGGGCCTCAGCTCTCCTCCCCTCACCACCCACCCTTTGTCCAGTGGCACAGCTGGGCTCCCTCTGTGCTTGGGCATGTAGCTGCTTGCTTCTTGGCTAAGACGTTGCATAGACAGTGCATCCGAAAAGCACGTGCTCCAGATGGGTAACGCCAAGAGTGTTTCTCAGGACAAGAAGAAAAGAAGCTGAGTCCGTGCCTGTGAACTGAGCTCTGGAAATGGTGGCAATGGGGGTGAACAGCGGTGGATCTGCGAAGCCCCTCGGATCCACAGACATCTGAGAAGATTCCACAGAGCCAGAAACACTACCGCAGAAATCCAAGTGCAGGGGAAAGGGGACACGATCCAGTACCTGCTTCCGTGTCATGGCTTTGATGACACCCATCTTAGATGGTTCAAGGGCAGGCAGGAAACGAACACCATCTTTATAACTTTCTAAGGCTAACATAAAATGCTTTTGTTTTCTCTTCTTTTTAAAAACAAAAATATTTATTGATTGATTATGTATACAGTATTCTGTCTGCTTGTATGCCTGCAAGCCAGAAGAGGGCACCAGACCTCATTACCTCATTACAGGTGGTTGTGAGCCACCACGTGGTTGCTGGGAATTGAACTCAGGACCTTTGGAAGAGCAGGCAATGCTCTTAACCACTGAACCATCTCTCCAGCCCTCTTTTTTTTGGGGGGGGGGTGATCAAAACAGTGGAGATACTACTCAAATGAGCTGAAAGCTTTATTGTTGATACAACATCAATACAACTAGAAAACAGGTCAGGGTCATCAATCTCCCCGTCCCTGCCACCCACCCCCCAACATAGCTGCTTTATTTGTGAATGGCCACTCTCTGTTTCCCCTCACCACTAATACATTCCAAAGGAAGCATGCTGGCTGGAGACTCTGGTTCCTTGGCCTAGGCTCGTGTCACCATGGCTCTGTTTTGGGGGGCTCAAATACCTCAAACTGCAGAATAGGACACTGGGCTCTAGTTTACCCTTGGCCCCCAGAATCATTGAGTGCTTAAGAGCTTACCAGACCAGCTTTTAAAAAGCCTTTTGCACCTGCGGGGAGCACATGTGGACCACACAGAGGTGGTGACAGGGTTTGGCCTATGCCACAGGGGGTTGGGAGCCAGGACAGGCTGGGAGCCAGGATAAGGGCTTTGGAAAGGCCAGTTCTGAAGATAAAGACTAAGTAGAAAACAGGCTGCCTTAGAAGAAGCCGCCGGATAGGGATGTCATCTTGAACTTGGACAGCCCCATGAACCTGTCCCAACAGGAATGAAGACATTCTAGTGAGACAAAATACATGTATGTCCCTTTGACTGACAGCTGAGACAATGGTCACTGAGAAACTAGAATTTCCCAGGAATCTCATGCTGGGAGAAGGAAAAGGTTGAGGCCTGGTGCCAGCCAGAGATTCCATATTGTTCTTATAACTTGTCGGACCAGCTTGCAGGAGAGAGTGGACCTGAGACAAAGAAGGGTCAGTGATGGGTGGGACCATAATAATAAGGCTGCTTAGTTAAACACACCTCTGCCCTCTAAATCTAAAGCTCCAGTCCAGATCCCAAAACAGAACCTAGCGGGAGAAGATCACCAGACTTTTATGTGTTCCTCGTCCCAATATGGTCATATGGGACAAATCTTTCTCTGTTTTACACTCTTGCTTGTTTCCTGAACTGGTCTTTTGAAGTCAGGTGGCTGATTCTACCTTGTTTAGGCGGCCAAGGACCAGTTTGGTCACCACAATTCCAAATGAGGCCCTGGAGACTACCGCAAGATTTCATAAGTGGAGAAACTGAGGACTACCCCCCCCCCCCCCCCCCCCACCCCCAGCACCTCTCCCTCCGTGCTGTTAGCCTGGCCCCTGAAGTCTTTTTGCCGCATTCCCCACCCGCGGGCGCCCGTTCACCCGGTCACACCTGCATCATCTCGAAAATGTGGTTGTCCTCCCCGTACTGAAGCATTTCCGGGGGGATGAGGTGCGGGGCAGTAGCCGCATCCATATCTCGGACTGCTTGCAGCTCCCTAGTAACCGCGTTGCTGGGACGCCAGGCTGTGCGTCATCGGTGCGCGCCTCCTCTGGGGCAAGTTCTGGTTCCCCGTTCCATCCATTGCAGCACTGACTGCAGTAGGCTCTCCCTCCCCAGGGCAGAGGGACCCCCGACGGGCCACAGCGCAAGGACTCCAGGACGCCCGTGGGGTCACAGTGCAAGGATCCCAGGATGCTCCAAGAGGGCACAGAGCAAGGACTCAAGGATGCCCCAAGGGGCCATCACGTGAAAAATCCCACAACGCCCCAGGGTCCACAGCCCTAGATTCCCAGGCCCTCCTGAGGGAGACCGGAACCCAGAAACCTGCTTCTGGTGCAGCCACCGTGTGAACCTGGGTGCTTAGGGTCCAACCCTGACTCCGCACCTGGACCTCAGTTTCCCCATCTTTAAACGAAAGGCGCTAAGCGCAGGTTCGGATCTGCTAAGCAGATGTGGATCCGGTATCTGCAAGAGCAAAAGTCATCTGCAGCCGGGGTCAGCCGGAACCTGGGCGGACCTCTTGGTTTGGGCTGCCGGGCCATGTGACCTGATTGCCATGGCACCTGTGGTCACAATCGGCCAGGGCTGCCTGGTCTTTTAGGCCTCGACCCCGCCCACTCCCGCTTCCCGAGAATTGAGGAGGGCCTTCCCGCCCTCCGGGGCCCCACACACCCACGGAGGCACTCCAAGCTTCAGGACACTCAGTGAGGCGAAGGCCAGTACGAATCAAACCAGGGTAAAGGAGGCTGGGGCGCCGCCCTAGAACTGCATAGAAAGCACTCGGGGAGTGATGGGACAAGAGGCGGAGGTGTCCTGGCCTAGAGGAGGAGAGCTGGCTGCTGGAAATGAGGCAAATGTGGCAGCTTGCTGACCAAGAGGGAGGGAGGCACAGCCTACAGGGACAGCCCAAAGTCCAAGTGCTGGGTGTGTCCAAATATCCATGGTGGACTAGACAAATCTGCCCTGGGCTTCAGTTTCCACCCTGAGCATTGGGGGCAGCTGGAGCATTACCCCCACAACCGCTCTGGAGTAGTCAGCAGTGACTGGCCGTTGGAAAGTGGGCAGTATGGGCCCTCCTGTCCATAGTGGTATCTCATTTAATCTTTAGACTAGTCTTGATCTCGCATCAATCACTTTGGACAGCAGTAGCCCCGTCCTTACGAGTTTTATTTGTATTTATGTATATACGGGTGGGGCCGAGGAAGAGCCGAGGCCGGTAAAGGGGTGTTTGGACCCTGGAGCTAGAATGACAGGCAGCTCTGGGTGCGGGGAAACTAAAGTCAGGTCCTCTGGAAGAACAGCAAAGGCTCTTGACCACTGAGCCGTCCGTCTCCAGCCCTCTGTAGCTCCTCTGTTTACAGGGGTCAAGAATCAAGTTAGGTTTGCTTCCAGGGGTTCCTGGGCCACTGCACTAGGCAGAGTCAAATGAAAACCTTTCTTCTCAGAATACAGGACAGGGCAGAGGAGTTGACCGGGTGACTTTGGGCAAGTCGTTTCCTCTTTCCAGATCTCTTTCCTGACCAGCTGCTGGGCAGAGCTCGGAAGTTCTGATCACTTGAAGAGTTTTGAACCAAGCTCCCTCCCTGGGCAGAAACAGATTGAGACTTATGGGAGGGGAAAGTCTTGCCGGGGGCCATGGGTGAAATCAGAGGCAGCCCCAAGGCTGGCGGCAGGCATACTGGCCTGGGATTGTGACACTTGCCCCCGTCACCATGACGGACTGCTTTCTTAAAGGCCTCAGGCCTTGGTAGACTGGTCTGCTGGGGAGCAAGAAGCTGTCTTCCCCAACAAAGAATTCAAGAGCCGAGTTGCAGCTTGCACTGGGGAGGTGTGGTGTGCTTCCTGGACATCTCTGAAGTGGCTTTCGTTTCTCCTCATTTATTTTAGGCCCTAGGCACTTTTCATACCATGATCTAATCTTCTTTAGCAGCCTGGAAAAATACAAATCAATTAAAGCCTAAAACCTACGGGGTAATCATTTTTCCCCTCCCTCCTCCCACCAGAGAGAGGAGCGCCTGCATTCAGGTCTTTCATCCACTCTAATTTGGCTGCAGAGGCTTGTGTTCAAGGGACAATCACTTTGGATAGCTTGTTACAGCCCCTTTTGTGACATCCCTGACGTGTGCGTGTCACAAGTTGCTAGGATCAAGAACTGAGCCAGGTTTGCTCTAGGGGGCTCATGGGGACACAGCAAGTCAGTTAGCACTGTCTCCTTGGAGAACCCAGAAGCCCAGAGAGGGTGGCGGGGAGCTGAACACACAGGAGGCAGCCCCATGAGGGTCAGCTAGTCCTCATGGCCCTGGGATGGGAGTGGAAGGGAGTCTCAGTGTTGAGCTACTAATGGGAACCCTAGAAGTGACTGGGTAACTTTTCAGATCCTTGGTAGATCAACCCCATTCCCCAGCAGCCACAGCCAACCCGATGCCTGCCATCTCGTCTCTAGGGAACATAAGAGAGGGAGGGGAGGGAGGGCGTGGTAGAAGAGCTCACTGAGATGTGACAGACCCTGGCTTGCCCTCTTCCTAACTGTGTGGTGTCGGTTTCATCCTCCGCTCATCCTATGTGACCACTGTGGTCCCTTGTCCGAAACTGTGGCCAGGGATTGAAATGGCGCATGCCCAGGGCTTTCCAGAACACCACCGAGAGGCTGTTCTCATCAGCAGACCAGTCTCCTGCAGATGTCTGCAGGCTTCTGCCCTGCGGATGCCCCTCTGGCAGACCGCACAGCCCTGGCTTTCATGTGTCCGCCCTGCCACTCTGAGCTCTGCCCTGACCTCAACCCGCTCCAGTAGAGTTCACCCAGGGCAGGGCCTCAGATACCGTGTCCATTACTGCAGAGTCCAGCACCGAACTGCATCTGGCACAGGGGAGGAAGGACCAAGTGTGGTATTCATCCCCACCCAAAGGCTTAGATGCCTTCAGCGGTTCGAAATGCCCAGTTTGACCTAGGGGTCTCTTGGCCTGGCCTTGTCTTCCACCCCTGCCCCTCAGCCGAGGACACTGCCCACCCACCTGCACATCTTCTTTTCAAGCTTAGAGTTTAACCCCTTCACCAAGGAGGATAAGCTCCTAGCAGCCCCTTCTCTTCAGGTACTCAGCACACCTGTGCTGGCAGGCCCCCTCACCTGCATGCCAGGTAATCACAGTCGCTCTGAGTTCTATTGTAAATGAGTACTGACTTCTAGGCTCTGGGGTCCCTGTCATCTCAGGACATGCCCTCCCCAAGGCTGGGTGGCTGCTGTGTTACAGAGCACAAGCTCAGAGACTATTGTCAGCCGAGGTCGGTAGACAGGGTGACACAGGATCTGAACCCAGGACCCGTGGTGGCAGAACAGCCTTGACTATTGCTACACAGCAGCAGGCTGCAGGGGCAGAGGGCAGGCTAACAAGGCACCGTCTCCATCTCCCTGGACAGCCACCACCGGGCATCTCTGACTTTCCTAGGTTACAACTTGAGTCGTTTGTAAGCGCCAAGCTGGAATGGGATGGGGCAGTCATCCGTGAATAGAGCACAAGGGGCCCTGAATCTCAACAGCCAAGATAGATACATTAATGCAGTGTTCTCCAAAATTCAAAACAAATCCAGGCGGTGGGGGTGCACGCCTTTAATCCCAGCACTTGGGAGGCAGAGGCAAGCAGATTTTTAAATATTTATTTTCTCTTTCAACTGGATGCTGAGTTTTTTGGCATCTAATCTTTAAATTTTGTCTTCCTCTCTTCACCCTCAACCCTTCCCTGGTGAGTCAGAAATTCTGAAGAGGGACAAGAGAAAACCTACTGTGCCCAAGCGAGCTATTCTGTCCCCTGGGGAAGAGGCCGAGCACGTGGCAGATGCCCAATAAACAGAATCTCAGCCCCATACTCACCCTGTCCACAGCATGGAGAGTGCAGAGTTCAGGAAGGGGCCGCTCTGTCTCCAGGGGGCTGACTTGTACCAGGCCAACCAGGGCTACAGCTACCCCTAGCTGTTGGCAGACACAGTGGGGTACCCACTTGGGTTAATGGGGTAGATTTGGGGACAACACTGGGTCTCTAAAAGGCCTCCCCTACAGTCCTCTCCGAGCTCTCTGATTTGCAGATAAAATCCATAGAGATTGCACTCTGGTCTGGTCTCAGTTTTTACATTATTCTGCCACAGGGCTGCCTTTCCAGCTCCACCCTTCTCACTAGGAAGCTGCCTTCCTTACACTTGACCTTGTGTGTCTGCCCCCTCTGCTTCCAGCATCTTGGAATGTCTTTGGATCATGTGACACAGGCTGGCATGCTGGAACCTGGGCTCTGCGTGCCCTGGTGGAGGGATGTAGAGCAGTGAGGATGTGTTTAGGCCTCAGGAAGCCTGGGGGCCAGGGGGTCTATGGCACAAACACACTGGGACTCCTTATCTCTAGGTCTCTGTATAACCCCTGAATGTTAATGGGTACCGGCTGCTGAGGCTCCTTCCAGCTCTGTCATTCCCTAAAGACTATAAGCATTTTGCCCGAGGTCAGTAAACCCTGGCAGCATGGACTAGAGCACCCCCTGCCCTCTCTGCCCATGGAGAGAGTTTGAGTGTGTTATCCTCAGTGTTTGAGGATAACAGCGTCACATCAGTGATGGCCCCTGGGCTGCACTCCCTGCAAATGGCTTCACTGATCAGACAGTGCAGGTTAACATAAGACAGGAGAAGGGTCTGCACCCACACCTGTCCTGGAAACTTGCAAACCTAAGGCCAAGGCTCCTGCCCCAAGCCCAGAGAGAGAGACACACACAGAACAACCAAGGACTGACTCTTTAGCTCACAGGGAGAATTCCCAGACTCTCAGCAACTTCACTGTGGTAGACTTTTTTTTAAACTGACACGTTGTTGGTTTGGGGTGTTATGGCGTGTCCCTGAATCCCAGGTTCTGCCCCAGAAGGGGTCCTGGATGCTGTGTGTACATGTACATTTGAGACGGTGTGTGTGTGTGTGTGTGTGTGTGTGTGTGTGTGTATGAGCATAGACCCTATGATCTGGAGACACTGAGGACAGATAAACTGTCCCTAGGCAAAGGAAGCCACAGTTTATGGCAGACTGTGTCCTCGGAGGGGAAGCAGACAAGGTCAGACCCGGTGCAGCGGTGGACAACTTGAAGGACCTAGAGCAAGCATGTGCCTTCCAGGACCCGCTTCCTGCTTCCTTTCCCCAAAGTAGGGACACATTCCTTTGGGAGGGCGCTTCCCTCCAGAGCTGAAGGGAAGTCCTGACTCCTGGGACCTCAAGCCCCTCTTCTTGCTCCCGACAGACCCTCGCTGTCCGTGAGAGCCGAGGGCCACGATGAACGAGGTCAAGGAGACCCTCCGCAGCATCGAGCAGAAGTACAAGCTCTTCCAGCAACAACAGTTCACCTTCATTGCCGCCCTAGAGCACAGTCGGGAGAACGCCCACGACAAAATCCGGCCCATCTCCAGCGTGGGACAGGTGAGGCCTGGCAAGCCGGGTGCTGGTGCAGGGCGGGGGAGGGTGTTCTTCCCAGCCCAGTCCCTGTACCCAAAACATCAACGGTGGAGCCCTAGAGAGGGGAATTGCATGTTGTTTTCTATGCCAACTCAGATTCTAATGGATGGAAGCAGTCCCTCGGTTATTGCCACCTATCAGATAGGCAAGTGACTTAAAAAAAAAAAAATGGGCTCAAGACTCAGCCAGCTTGGTTTAAAGTTCACCTGGCACCCTGTAGCCTTGGGCTGGTGAGCATATCCCACTAACCTCAGTTTCCCCACCTGGAAGGCACATGTAATGAAAGCATCCATGGAAAACTCCTGACCCATACATACCAAGCCCGCAGCGTCTAGTGTCACCTGCGAGCCCCGGCTGAGCACCGGGGATTGGCTGGTGAGCAGGCATATGACGGTCCTTCTCTAAAGATTCTGCCACAAACTGGCACCTGGCCCAGCTCACTAGCAGAGGTTCTGCAGATACTTTTATTTACCCCTTTTCTTTAAAGGTGAGCTACTGTCCACGTTTTCTCGGTGGGGGCTGGAGGCCTTCCGGGAAGTCACTGGGCCGCTAGGAACATATACACAAGCTAAATCCTAGAACCAAAGAAGAGGCCCCTGCAAAGAAGTCAAGCTCCCCCCCCCAAAAAAAATGCCTGTTTAAAGGGGGCTGGAGTGGTGGGCTGGGTACAGTCTCGAAGTACCCAGGAGAAATGAGAGCACCGGGAACAACAACCTTTGCCAGAGACACCCTTTACATTCTTTCTCTAAATTTCGTAAAAATGTCTTGTTTCCTTGAAAAATGCTGACCCCCACGACGAAAATGCTCTATGAAAACTGAATTCATGTCCATCCATCTATCACAGTGATCAGCTGGTCTATGCCCATGCCCCTGAATCTACTGGAAGGGCAGTTGGCTACATTCCCACAGTAGCACAGCCTTCCAAGGGCATGGGACAGGTTTTCAGTCTCTAATAGTGGCCCAAGTCCACTTCCTGAGCACCTGCTTGATAGGGCTTCCTACCTTAGGTGCAGAAGGGATGGCTCTCAGATCCGTCTACTGTCGAAGCCCCACCTCCACCCTAAGAGGTCACTCTGTTGGGGTCACACCTTGATGCAGTCCCCGCTCCAGGTGCCTGGACAGGTGTGCTGTCAGAAGCATCTACCCCTTACAGGCTGGGGAGGAATCCCCTCAGATCACTAAGAAACAGAGTAGCCCTGTCTAGACAGAGACCGTTTGGAGTGTCAGAGGAAGCAGAGGCACCCCACCTTTCATCACTCCGTGGAGAGTAACAGCTGTGGAATGATTAAATCCATTACTCAGGCCTGTCTGTCGGTCGCGTAAATCTACCTTGCCTATGCTTAGATGCAAAGTCTCTGAGTGGTTCCAAGTAACTGGCAAAAGACCCATAGAGGGATCCCTACCCCTAATCAAGGAAACCTTGGAAAGCATAGCAGAGAATTAGTGTTCTCAGCATGTTATCTACACAGTTATGGGGGGTTTAAAAGTTTACTTGGTATATGAAGTCTGGTATGAACTTGTGCCCCCCACCTGCTCCCCCATACACTGGAGACAGTCTGTGAATCCAGGTTGGGGTGCCATAATGCAATATAAACTTGTGCCCCCACCTACTCCTCCATACACTAGAGACAGTCTCTGAATCCAGGTTGGGGTTCCACACTGCACTGTCCTAATGCAGACAATAATTTCTCCAGTCAGGCCTGGAACTGACTTTTTCTGACTCCAAAACTCAGTACAACCAGTCTGAAAGATTCTTGTTTCTTCCTCCGTAGTTTGGGTAAGCAGGGTGGTGGAGCTCAGGTCACTGTGCGAGGAGGCAAATCAGTCAGGCCACTTCTGTTGGCACCCAAGCAGGTCATTTCTCATGTCTGGACCTCTAGCATTTAGGACGTATGTAAAACGAGGACACAAAAAGCCCCTACCTAGTGTGGAGAGCTTAGGTGATGAGTGAGGGAGAACAGACTTAGGGAAGTATTTTTGCAATGGTGCTTAAAACATAAACATTAGCTGTCTGTCATTCGAATGCTCCATGTCCGGCATCAAGCCTGTGGTCGTGGGAGGTCTGGGGCAGTGCCCTCTGTCTCTCCACCTCCAACTCCTGACGTGTGGCCTCTGCAGGTGCAGAGCTACATGGAACACTACTGCAACAACTCTACGGACCGGAGAATTCTGCTCATGTTCCTGGACATCTGCTCAGAGCTTAACAAACTCTGCCAACACTTCGAGGCGCTGCACTCCGGCACCTCTGTCACCAACAGCCTTCTCGAGAAATGCAAAACCCTGGTTAGCCAAAGCAATGACTTGAGCATCCTCAGAGCAAAGTAAGTCCCTCGTGGGTGTAGATGGGGCAGAATGTGCTGAGAGGACAGGATCCTGTAAGCTGGCTCTCCCCTGCTGGCACAGGTCACAGCCTCTAATTCATCCGAGTCTAGCACCTAGCTACCCACTAGAATGACTGACCTCATCAAACGGATGGAAAACTGGGTCACAGACATAAGAGGACCAAAAAAAAAAAAGTCTTCTAGGACTTAGAACCAGACTAGGGAGAAGTGGCTACAGAAGTGGGACACCAAAGTTACATCCCCTGGGGCTCCATGGTGACCTCAAAGAATCCAAAGCTCCATCATCCATTTTTGGGAGCTCACTAGATGTTAGTGTAAGAAGGATTAAGGTAGCCAGTATTTTAAGGTGACAGGAGGTTCTCCAGGCCCTGATGGTTGAGAGCTCCTATACCAGAAGTACCTGGGGCTCTTGGCCTTGAACTTTCTGGAATAGAACACACAGGGATGGAGCCTGAGGTATGTGTGTCTAGTTCTCCGACCTGGAGACCTCACCACCTGCTCACCATCCTGCAGGTACCCGCATGACGTAGTGAACCACCTGAGCTGTGATGAGGCCAGGAACCACTACGGAGGTGTGGTCAGCCTCATCCCTATCGTCCTGGACTTAATGAAAGAGTGGATTGCTCATTCGGAGAAGCTACCTCGCAAAGTGCTGCAGCACGTGAGTGAGGTCCTGGGTAGCCAGGGAGCCGCCGCAGCCACCACCAGACCTGCCCAGACCACGTTTACCCAGCACTGGTTAGGAAGACACAAGTATAGGCAGCTTGCAAAAGAGAGCCTCAGATCTAGGGGGAAAGACAAAGGCTTCCCGAAGCCTCCCTGGAGACCACCCGGTGGGAAACTGTAACTCGCTGTCAACGTACTTGGCTTCCACAGGTCATCCATTTTCACTGGGGGCCAATACACCATTGAGAATATCCCTCTCTCTCGCTTTTCACTTCTAACATCTCCGTCTCTTGACCTCCGTGTTGGTGAAAGGGATCCTTACTCATGGAGCTGCCTAAACAATATGGTGTTGGCAGGGCATGTCCCCGACGCAGGGCGTTGTGCTGATGCCCAGGCCTCCTGCCCAGCTGTGGCTTCTGTAGTGAGCAACTGGAGGGGGGGTTACTTAGCTCCTTATCTTGACAAGGACAAGATGAGCTGCAAGGTCTCTCATGAACACGTTAGGGGAAAGGGATCAGGAGGCTGAATTCTCTTGTGTTCAGTTCCCTGGACTAAAACAAGGGATGAATGCTCTCTCTCCTTTGGGAGAGGGAGAGCATGGCAGAAGTCAGACTGTCTTGTGGCCCTTGAGCCTGGTCTCTGCAGCGGTCTAGTCTACCCACACTGTAAATGTGTACTCCTGGCTTCTGGGCCTGCCAGAAGTGAGCTCTGACTGTTGGTTTTTCCCTTCACAGGGGACGACTTAGCTTCTGTATTGTTGTTTCCTCGGGGGGAGACATTCAAGAATAAAGTGTTCTACCATTTCTCTGCCTGGCTTAGTTTCCTGGGATTTACCCGACCAAACCCAAAAAACCAAAAAACCAAACCCCTTGTTCTTGTAAGACATCAGATGACATTGGGTGGCCATATAGGCAAAGCCCCTCCAGACAGCACCAGAGACCTCTGCAGCCAAGCTCAGTGCTTCCCTTCAGAGTAGGCTGCCTCTAGGAGGCTCAGGCCACACAGGGCCAGTCTGTAGGCTCCCAAGAGTGACTTCCTTGTCTGACGAGAGACCTATTCAGACAACCCCCGAGTTTTCAGACAGTCAGCCTCCTGAGGTTAAGGGCAGTGCAGTAATTCCAGGCACCACATGCAGCTCACACTCTGCTTACCCCACTAAATCCAGGCTGAGTTGTAGGGACAAGGTGGAGGAAGAATCTCAAAATTATGTAAAGGTTATCTCTCACCTCTGCCCAGTACCTGAGGAGCAGAGGGGCATCAGGGCGCAGGTGGTGAAGACGCTGTACTGTCCTTTGGCATCACAAACACAGCTGGTCAGGGCTAGGGTAAGCAGGAAGACTTGAGATGCAGACTTGGGGGGCCATGCTGTCAGAGGTGGTCCTCTTCACATCCTGCACTTTACACGGGGGCATGAGTTTAAGGCAGCTGAGTTATCTGTTCCCCAGCCCAAGTCCACCACTGTTCCGTACCATCAGGAAACCACTCCAGACAGACAACAGTGTCTCTGGACCATCTCATTTCACCCACAAGCCCCCAAAAGCCAGCATAAAATCACTTCATCTCAACACTGCAGAGTGCAAAACAATAAATCTTTATTTGTTCACAGTTAAACACAAGCAACTGCCTTGACATTTCAGAACATTCTAAGGACAGCAAACCTTTGATTCCATTCACTGAGACTGTACCATGTTCTCCTGTAACCTGTATTTATGACATCCGATGCGGATTGTTTGACATGCTTTTAAGGTCATAGTGGGAAAGTTCAAACCTTTTGAGAAGAGGTGACTTCCATTGAACTAATAAAATTTTTTAAAATCTGATTTTTTTTTTCACTGATGGGAACTCCCCCCACCCTTAAACTCCAAGTTAGCCATATATGGTTAATCCATGATTGATTATAAAACTAAATCATGCCTTAGCAAAACCTGCTCCTCCATAATGTGTTTTGTGGTCCAGTCTCATGAAGGGTGACCACTGAATCTCCCTAGTGCAAAGACGCCTGCCTGCCTCTGACCTGACAGAGAGCTAACAAACACCATCATGACCTCCCTTCCAACACTGTGAGGTGGGGCAGGGAGAGGGATCAGTCTAGTCAAAGACCAGCTCCAGTGGCTCAGTCAGCCTGCTTATCCAGAGGTGGATAATACTGGGGCTCTGGGAAGGGCAGGGCACTTCTTGGGCCCCATTAATTTCATTCTGAGACCAAAAGTGGTCAGGGTGTAGTTTCCAATGTAGCTGCAGCTGCTTCTCTACAGCACATTTAAACATGGGTGATATCAGAAACTCTGCTCCCCTGGGCACACCAGGAACTCACAGACTGGGAAGCTGAATGGGAACATAGCTCAAGGGCCAGTTCCCATTTTTACCTACACAGATAGGCTAAACCCAAGGCAATCAGTGACTGCAGCAAACTGGGGGTAGGGAGCAGGTGGGGATAAAGGGAGGATGGAGGCACATGCCACAGATCTCTGGATGTATATAAGGACACAAACACCCTCACACTGGATGTATTTTCCAGTGTACACAGCAGTGGATCTACAACCTTGGGGTGAAGGTGCAGCAGATGTAGGCTGCCATTGAGTCACAGTGTGCAGGACCACTGGCCTCTGGCGGAGGCAGACTCCGTATGTGTTGACGCTGAGCCTGTGCAATGCCTACACCTCTGCCAGCTTATCCAGTGTCTCCCACCTTTACTGCTCGGGAAGACGAGCACCTTACTACAGTACTTCTGCTTGTTCTTTGGATCTCTCTGGCTTCCAGTGGTAGGTCCCTCCCGGCTGGCTTCACACCAAACTACACATCGCTCAACTTCTCCCCTGTCAGCCTGAGCTCTGTGCTCTGCTCTCAGCTCTTTTCATCTTCAACTACTCAACTGCTAACATTGTCTTTCTCCTCTGAGCACTAGAGACCACATATGATGCAAGTGGCCCCGAGTCTTGTCATTTGTGGTGCCACCACCACCCAGGGAGGCGCTGGTCACTGGCCAGAGCAGCTTGGGGAGGTTTTTTTTTTAATCACCTGTGGCTTCCATGACTTTTCCTGGGTTTTGAGTTTGCCTTCTAAGAAGAGCGACTCCTTGCTAACCATGTCACAAACAGAAGCTTCTGCAGCTTAGTCCAGAAGATTGAATAGACTTTCTTCCTGAAAGGGTCAGCAAAGCTATCAAATCAGCATTTGCCCCTGGCAGCTGTGCTGCCTGCTCCGGGGATGCCATTTAGAGCCCGTCCCTCATGTTCACGGTCATGTTGCTCTTGCTCCTAAAGCAAGTTCTTATGGATGTCAGGGAGGAATGTTGGACAGATGCGTGCTTAGTTCCTGGCCCAGGCACTGACCTGCTCCTCCACTCCAGTGGCATTGTACTGCTGCTGCTAACAGACTCCAGACTGCAGGAGACAACCACAGCATAGACTCCAAGTGATTCAAGGATGGAGCCATTCAAGCACAGCATTCACACATACCAGGCTGCCCATGACACCTACTGCTCCATACCTTGGCCTACACCTCAGCTGCCTTTCAGAAGTTTCCCTCCTGACTGCAGCAGCATCAGGTGACCCACTGATCCCTGGATGCTCTGTCACTGCCCTCTAAACAGAAGCTTCCACTCACTGATTCTCAAATCCTTTGGAAAGAGTCAATGTTTAGGCTGGGTACCTTCAAGATGATTTCAGGTCACAGTCCCCCGACCTTAGCTGGGAAAAAAAAAAGCCTCAACAGCCTTCTAGAACTCAAGCCACACAGGATGCTCAGGTTCTGTCACTGGGTACAGAACTCCAGCCTGTACCTCAGTCTACCATGCTGCTGTCTCCTCTCCCTCAACTTCAGCACTTGTGCAGTCTGTAAGTTTTCTTTCTACTGGAAAAAGGCTTGGTTCTCTGGCACAGATCTTGTGTGTGTGTGGCGGCTAGGGGAGTGGGGGTTAATAGGAGCAGTGTTTTCCCATTAACTGTGAGACCTTTTTCCCAGTTCATCTGCCCTTTTCTACAATGGATCAGGTGAGAGAACACAAGGTTTTCAGCTTTCCTCTGGGCAGACCTAAATGAAAAGCACGGCATTGTCGTCAAGGGGCAATTGCTGCCCTCTGCTGGTCTGAGAATAGTCAGTGGCGTGGTTTTCCTGTGGGCTAGCTTTGGCAAATATATGGCCCTAACAGGTCTCCAGCCAGTACTGCCACGGTGACAATGAGTCTCACCTTACTTAGAGATGCTAGGATAATTACTGCCACACTTTGAAAAAAGACATTCATCCTTAGGCTGGAAACTTCCATATGCAGTAAGATTTCATACCATTAGTTTTCTAATGTTTTACCGTTGTTGTAGCTAAACCCTTCTGTTCTTTATATACCAGATAGAATAGAAACAAGAAAACCAAGCTCTTGGCTCCTTCCCAAGTGTCTCCTTGCCTGGTCCAGAATATCAGGCAACAACTCTTACACTTCCAGCATTTATTTCAGGAGCACTGGTCGAGTTTGGGCTCTCTGCCACCACCTTGTTCTGATCGAACACCATGTCACCTCTCATGAGCATGAGGGAAGGCAGTGGTACAGGCTACCAACCTCCATCAACCCTCCCAGACTCTGAGTCGCTCTGCTGTTCCCAACAGAAGTGTTTGACATGAAGCTCCAGGGGGACTTTCTCCTGCAAAGTCAGAATTGGTGTAAAAAAGCTGCTAAACCTACTATAGTGAGGTATCCCCAGCCCGAGAACGATCGTCACATAAACTCTAAGGAAATTCTGGCTCTTCTGAGCCTGTCCGCTACAGAATCACAAAGCAGCTGGTAATCAGAGACGTGGACGAAGAGAGGCAAACAGACTGAAGGGTGGAACCATGGCTCAGCTGGATGGGGCCAGCCAAAGGCACACTTCCACATGTGCATGAGTATCCTGGGTGCCTCTCCTAGTGACCACTCCCCACAATCTGCGGACTGCAGAACGACCACCTACACACCCACCTACAGGCAGCATGGTGCCAGCATTCAAGCAAATACCAAATAAATAAGAGGTAGTGGGGGAGAGGGGTAAGAGCTTTCCAGAGAGTAAGGCAGTGTGGCCTCCACAGCACCAACTACACTATCAGAACAACTGGTATTCTCGCAGAGCCTTCTAGGAAGCATATCCAAGCTTCTAAAAGAAGGCAGAGGTGAAGGAACCAGTTTCTCTACATCTGTGGCTTTAGATGCTGAACTTCAGCATCTAAAAGAGCAGTGGAAACGCTCCTGTAAAGACAATCTACTTTGTAGGCTACAGCCTCCTGGAAGGGACAAAACTGGACTTACCTGCAGTGCCACTAACTGCCTGGTCTACCCAAGAGCCACCTATCTATCTGCACCTAGGAAAGCAGAGTGGTGTGTTGGGCCCAAAGATGAAATTTGGCCTCATATTGCACAGGTTCAAAGGACACAACCATTTGGTGGGAGGAAGGAAGAAAATAAAGCTACAAGGGACACACACAGGCCCTCAATTAGTACATACTGCTAGGTAAATGAAAGAGGCTGGGGTGGGGTGAAGGAAAGCATCTCAATGCCAGACCTAAAAACCATCATCCCACATTCCGCCAGCTGTCACTGCACAAGCAGCCGCTCAGACCCTGGAAACAGAAAAGCCTAGAACGTGCATTCACACCTCCTGTTCTGTGCTGACAAAGACGCAAATTAACACTGACAGACCCCTCAGCTGTGCTCGTGATGAGTCTCATTGTAGTCCATGATGTGGAGCTGCCCCACGCTGTCCGAGTTTGGGGAAGATGGGTGTGAGGCTTCTAGATTAAAGGGAGTCTTGTTTTCCACGCCTGAATCTTTGCCCAGTTCTGTCTTTAGGGTCTCAGAAAGGCTACTGCTGGTCACACCGTCCTCATCACATTGGCTCTCACTCTTATTACGGAACAGTTCCCGGGCCTTCATGCCCAGGAAGCTTTTGGAACTGGGAAGTGAGCCAACAGTCGTGGGGATGCTGCTGGAGGGCTCACCCACAGTGGTTTCCCAGCGGCTGCTGAACCTCTGGCTTGGGGGTTTCTCTGGAGTGGAAAGCTCACTGCTGCTGCTGCTGCTGCCTCCAGTGCTTCTGCCTCCACAGCTGACCCGGGTACCACTAGGCCTGGAGGTCCTGGTCTCACCGTTGTGGCCAGAAGCCTCTTCGTTATGCCCTATCAAGGAATCTGAGCAGCTGTCACTACAACAGTCAAGCCTGTAAGAGACCCAGAAGGAATGCAGTTGGTAACTGGAGCACTCTTGGGGAAATGGGAAATTACAATTGCTCCTTGGACCTTGCTTGCCCATTCTCTAATTAAAATTTTTATATATTTGAGTGTATGCATATGTACCATGTGTGTGCCTGATTCCTGAGGAGGCCAGAAGACAGTGTCAAGTTCCCTGGAAGTGGAATTACAAATGGTTCACCTAAGTGCTGGGAACCAAACTAAGATCTTTTTGCAAAAGCAGCCAGTGCTCTTAACCACTGAGCCATCCTGCCTGTCCCCCCGCTCTGTTTGTAATAGTAGACACAAGCAGGAGAGTCACTTGGAGTGACAGCTGGGGTTATACTGAATGACATCTGCAATGGAAGGGCAGATAATCGAGTGTGGCCGGGAGACAACCGGATGACTCTCTGTAAAGGATTGAGCAGAGGACAGTAGCTCAGCTGCTTGTCACTGCCTCCCCACAGGCCTGCCATGCTGCCTGACTGGCTGTGGTCCCTCGTGCAGAGCCTTCCAGAACCCTGATGCAGCCGTTCTCACCTCTCTTCTGCTGCTTCTGCTGTTTCTGCTTTGTCCTCCTCTAGTTTTCGTAGGCGGCCATCTTTCTCCAACCTGCCATACAAGTCTAGGATCTCCAGTTCCAACACCCGGGTGATCTTCTTCTGAGCCTCATACCTGCTCTCTGCAGCCTGCAGCTGTCCACTGAAAGACAGGACCTGCTTCAGAACATGGGAGGGGACTCACCCCTATCCCACCCTCACCTTTCCTGTGAGTCACCTCGCCTGGCTCTTGACATCCTCAAGGTATTTCTTCTGTTCTAGAAGAAGGTGGTCTTTCTTGGCCAGAAGAGATTCCAGTTCCAACACTCGCCTCTGTGAGGCATCCAGCCTCTGGTTCTGCTGGAGAAGATGGCTTCTGTTCTTTTCTAGTTCTTTCCGATATGCAGTTTTCATCATTTCTACTTCCTATAAAAAAGGCCTAGAGTCAGTACTTATATACAACTGTGCAATGTAACTCAACAAGAAGTGTCCCCAACACTGAGAGGCACTTAGTGTCCTCACCCAACCGAGTGAGGGTGGCTTCCTGGGCATTTCTGATGTCTACCACTGAGGAAACCATCTGAAACACGGAAGCCATGTTGTACAACAGTCACCACAGCATGTTTACAAAAGTCAAGAATCGCAAGTACCCTGAGAGCGAATGTTAGGACTCTGTAAGAGGAAGCATATATTTACTCCGTTTGCAGGGTGCATACAGTACCAGTAAAGACGCAAAAGTGGACCATTGCCCACAGGATCATGCTGGCCACAAAATGCACTGGATAAGCCACTTTGCATCAGGTTAGTGGCACTGGTCATTTGCCCTCTTTTTACCCTTCCTCCCTCTTCTACTAGCAGCTGAGATAGGGACACGAAAAGAATATGTCTGCTCAGGAGACGCAGCATTTTTAGGCTGGATACTTGCTAAAGTTTGTCAGCCAAGTCATACAGGTGGCCTGCCTGCATCAGGAAATCCACAGTAAGTGTAGACTGATATGCTCCCAAAAGGTGGAAAGAAGGCTTTCCTAGCAACTGTTTAACACACACACACCCAACACCATACAAGTTTTTCAGAAAAGATCCTAAACTGTTAAGTTGCAAGGAGGTAACCTTTCTGGAAGGCACCAAGCCTCAATGCTGACCAGTGAATCAGACGTTTCCAGAAAGCAGAAGGTAGAAATGGCTAAAAAAATGGCCATTCCATCTGTGCTGAAGAGCTGCAGGTAATGACTTCTGTAACAGAGGCAGCACAATCACCTTCCACAGCTACAGACCCTGCCAGCCAAAATTCAACATGTTCACTGTGTGCACTGAGTGTGCCATGCTGGGTTCTTGTCATTATTCTTGAATATAGTTTAACAGCTGCTTATATAGTATTTACCTGACATTAGGCTTGTGCATGTGACCTAGAGATGGTTACAGTACATGGGAGTATTCTGGGCCAGCACCATACATCTTATGAGGAACTAACCATCTGGAGATGTGCAGGGCCCTAGAACCCCCTGCACAGCAATAGTAGCACCTGTACTATTTATGGATGCTCACACAAGGAATTAAAATGGCGAGTCCTGGGCATCTCAGTACCTCACAGCCTGTGAGATGCCTGCACCTCCTCTATGGGCCTGAAGAACAGTGACCCAGATCCCCACCTAGGGGCAGATCTTGGCCTGCTCAAGGCCCTCGCAAGGTAGTAACAAGCACCATACAAACCTAACAGAAAGGGACACAGGACTGAAAGTGTGCAGAGGATTTTGAGAAGGGTTGTTCTGAGAGACACCCACCCATAGGAGGGGGTACTCGCTTCTTCCTGGGAATACCACGTGGTTGGCCTGTGAAGGCTGAACTTGGGGCACTTGGCACACCAGTGTGGCTAGCTGGTGGACAAGACTAACAAGCTAAGATGGTGGGGAGAAGAGCACAAAGAGCCTGGCTTCCTCATGCTGGTCCCAAACTGCCACCTTGACCAACTTGGAATTCATCTGTCTCAGGACTTTCCTCAAGTACAGCACTAAAACTCTGTATCGTTAAGTGAGATTGTTCATTTTGTTTTGTGATATACAACAGAAGGCAGCCCACCTAACAAGTGGGCTTCCCAGTTCCTAACTGTGAAACAGCACCCAAGAGGGAACAAGGCTGCTAATGGTCTCAGAAGTCTGAGTAACAGAAGTCAGTCCAGTTAGGCATCATCTCTCTGGAGGCATCAAAAAGTTGCTTCAGCAGCAGCCAGACATGATGGCAGCACCTTTAATCCCAGCACATGAGAGGCAGAGATAAGTGGATCTCTTTGAGGTCAAGGCTAGCTTGGTCTATGTAGCGTGTTTCAGGGCAGCCAAGGCTACATAGGCAGACCCTATCTCAAAAAACAATGCACCTCAGCAAACTCTTTGGGTGGGTGGGTGGGGGTCCTTGGGTCTGTTCCCTACATTCTCTAGAAACTATTCTGCTTTCAGAGTAATTCATTATTGCAGTCTAGACAGTTTCACTTTTGACATCCTCCAGAATCTGAACCGGAGGGTAAAAAGAACTGAGCAGAAGCAACTCTACTACGAATGATGTCTCTTCAGTTCTGAGACGACACTGTCCACTTGGAGACCACAGATAACATTTCTTAGAGCCTTGACCCAAGGGTGCTAAAGGCACTTGATGGAAGAGCAGTGCCAGAGCATCAGAGTACCCAGTCCCTTCACTAATTCCACCAAGGCTGACTGTACAGTGACACGGACAGCTGTCTTAGTGCATTGGTAAACATTAACAGGCCTTGATGCTGACACCAGCACTGAAACAAACATCGGTAGGACCAGAGTCACAAGGAAAAGGAAACAAAGCAGCACAAGTGCTGGGTCACAGCAGCACCCACACACCCTAGGTCCTGGAAGGTGTGCTAGACAGAGCTGGGTGCCCCCCACCTTTCCCCTCCCTCCTGCTCTGCAGCAGTTACATCTCACTCTTGCACTGTGTGACGGCCAAACTTGGTGACCTACGGGATACGAATCACTATGGAAACAAACCTCTGGGTCTCTCTGGAAGAGACTAATGTAGGCTAAGTTAACTGAAGTGGTAGGACCAATCCTAAATATGGGCAGCACCATCCCATAGACTGGGGTCCCAGAATGAATAAAAAGGAGAATGCAAGATGAACATGAATCTCTCTCTGCTTCTTGACTGTGGATACAATGTGACCAGATGCTTCATACTGCTGCCACCACGCCTCCCTGGACAAGATGGACTAGATCCTTAAACTGTGAGCCAATAAACCTTCCTTGCTCCGGCTGCTTTCTCAGGAGGTTGGTCACAGCAGTGAGAAAAGTACCCCTGCAAAGCAGTCCCACTAGAGCACATGCCTGCTCCATGCCCTCCAATGACTGGCCAGTGCTGTGTGGTTGGGCCTAGCTGCTCTGCAGAACACGGGGCCAGGCAGCAGTTTTCTGCCTCTCAGTGCCCTGGCTACATACCTTGGTGGTGTCAGGATGCTTGCTCTGCAGCTGCTCCAAGTACAGCTCATTGACCTCTCCGAGTACCAGCAGCTGCCTATTCAAGAACTCCATCTGCTGCTGCACCGACTCACTATTGGAGAGCTGTCCAGATGGAAGTGAGAAAGTACAAGTTCAGAATGGCAAAACTAGTCGACAGACAGTGACTCTCGAGGAGCACAGGGTAATGCAGGGTAGAATAAACCTGAGTCCAGGGCTAGTGGAGAAGAAAGCACCTAATGGCAGCAGAAATATACTTAGGTTGTGCCCTGGACAGAAGCAACATGGATGTATTCCATTGTAGCTAGTCCAAGAACACTGGAGCAGACACAGCTATGGGACACAGTCCCAGAGAACTCACCCTTTTTGAATATATGACACAGAGATGTCATTGAATCCCTATGGGGAGTCACAGCTCAAAAGCCTTAACTGTTTATATTGCATAAACAAGGTATTAAAAAAAGGGGCTCCAGAGGATGTGCCTAGCCCCAGCACATTAGGCACATTTATTGTGAGGGCTGTCTGCTCTGGAGGGAATGCTGCATTTGGCAATACCCATGCCACCTACCCACTCACTGCCAGGAGCACCAATGTCTTCAGACAAATGTTTCCTGGGTAGAACTGTTCCCTGCTGGAGCACCAACACATACATACACATACAAGTAATATATTTGCCTGCCCTGAAGCAAGAGTCAGCAGGTGGGATCTCGTCTTACCTTCTGAGAAACCTGGCTGAGCAGCAGCTCAGTGTGGCACACCTTGTAGTTGGCCTTCTTCAGCTCCTCCCGTAGCTCTGCAATCATGTTCCTGCAGTCCTCCAGTTTTGTCTACCAAAGAGAGTTGGTTGTGAGGTTACAAGAGCACCTATGGGCACAGGCAGAGCTGGAGATGCTCTGTTCCTCAACTGCTCTCTTGTCCATCAGTTTCATTTTGAAGGAGAGATTCCATAAAGATAAAAAACAAAGGGGAAAAATTCCCAAAGACCTGATCCTTACAGTTTCCAAACTACATGTCCCAGGCCAGGCAGCCACAAAGAAATGTGGCCCAGACTTTTCACTTTTTAAGGGGACCACAGTGACATCTGGGGGATATCATGGGAACTACCAATAAGTTGGTAGAGACAGGCCACATACCTGTGGACAATGCCACATCCTGGCAAAGCTGGGCTTTGGTGGCTTATGTGTTTTAAAAACAAAACAAAACAATATGAGAAAACAGAATGGAAATGAGAGTGTCACTGTCTACCGATTCCTGGCCAGAACACTGTGTGGGCCCAACAGGGTCACATGACCTTGGCAATTATACCTATTTAAAAGTGAAGTTTAAAATATTTTAAATGTAGGTGTGCTGTTTCCACCCAGCAACTATGTCAGGAGGAATCAGTCTGGTGTTCGTCTGCTTAGAGTAACAGTTCTCAGCCTGTGGGTCATGACCATAAGAAAACATTTCTTATGGTCTTAGGAAGCCCCAGTCATAAATTTATTTTCATTGTTACTTCATAACTGTAATTTTGCTACTGAGTGGTGTCTGAGTTCCTAAGACCCATTGGAAATAAAACAGTTTTCCAATGGTCACAACCCACAGGTTGCAAACCATTGGCTTAGAGGAACATTAAATTGTTTCTTTTGGCTCCAGAGAACTAAGGGAACTATGAACCAAGAAATCTGGGGAACTTCTGTCCTCAGTAAGAACTATGCAACATGAAATAAGGTCATTTTAGAAAGCAAAGTATTCATCTCAGGCAAGCTGAATAAGGTAAGGTGACAGGACATAGCTGATGCCAAATCTTCTACTGTCATCCGTCTGTACAGCAGCGATACCTGTAACTCCTGGCTCTGGTTGTAGAATTCTTCCCGGTCATGCTGCAGCTGTCTGATCTGGCTGTGCAGTTGGGTCACCATGGTGTCATGCTGTTCCTGAAGCTGGCTGTATCGAGTTTGTTCTTTCTGAAGACTCACCTTCCATATCTTGATGTCTTCCTCTTGTAACTTCAACTGATCTTTCTAGCAAAGGAAGGGACAGCATCATTTTAGGGGCCACCCAACACAGGCAGTGACACTCAAGCTTACCACATCACCAACATCAACAGTCACACACTGCCCTGGAATTTTAATCATATATTTACCAGCCTGGTGCCTTTCTACTGTCAATGTTTTCCAAAATCCACATGAGCACATGGAACTTTCCTTAAGAAACACCATGCTTCTTATAATTGCTGAAGTCCTAGCTGCCAACTGAGGAAGACCCTGAATATATAGTGCTTTAGTCCTTTAGAATGCTGGGTCCTCACTATCACCCAGTGTACCCGGCACAAGGCAAATGCTCATTGGTACAATTTAACACCACAGGATACAACACAGACTGTCACTATCATTTGTTGTCTACAGAATGGGTAAAGAGGCATCAAAAGGCTTAAGATAAACCAGGTGTGGTGGTGCACGCCTTTAATCCCAGCACTCAGGAGGCAGAAGCAGGTGGATCTCTGTGAGTCTGAGGCCAGCCTGCTCTACATAGTGAGTTCCAGTTCCAGGGCTATATGGAGGGAACCTATCTCAAACAAATAAACAACCTTCCACCAAACCCAAAAGGTGAAATCCACCATTCAAAGTCCAGATCTGGTTGGCTTTATTTCCATGACATCAAACCCCTTCAGTTCTGTACCATGAAATAGCTTACCAGCAGGAAAAATAAAACTACATGGGCCCTTTACATTCATGGCCAATGCCAAGTAGTCATTAAAAAAAAAAAAATCACATGTTCTCATGGTTCCTGAGAGCTGAAGGAGTTCATCTGGGTATACCTGTACCTCACAGGCTAAGTGGCTTGCCCTTAAGCCATTGGAGCAGAGCTGGGACTAACAAAGCCCACTCTCTTATTTGGCAGCTGCTCTCTATAAGCCACCATGTGAATGGATACCCCTGCCTGCTCACCATTGCCACGTTGTGCTCTTCCAGAGCGGCTGCTCTGATCACCTTGCGCAGGAACCTTCTGTTCCTGAGGGCGTGCTGCTGCCGCTTGAACCGCTCATACAGCAGCTGGTTGTGCAGTAAAAGCAACTGGTCTCGGAGGGTGCGGATCTCATCTGAGGGAGGAGAGCCTGATTTTAAAGCAGAGGGAAGGTGGCAGAAAGGCCTTTTACACACAGTTCTGTTAAGGGCCTCCCATGCGCCTTACTTAAGAAACATAATCCTTGGGGTCTTAGAAGACAGCTCATCCATGAAATGCTTGCCATGTAAGCACGGAGGACTGGTTTGATATCCAAATCCCATGAAGAAAGAGGCACGGAAGTTTGTGCCTGTAATCCCAGCACTGGGGAAGCAAAGACAGGCAGACCCTTGGGGCTCACTAGCCAGCCTGCCTTGGTACAGTAGCAAGCTGTGAGTAGCAAGCCAGTGAGAGACCGTCTCCATACATGTGTGCACACAATTCTGACACTAACCAATTAGTGTGTGAGTTCCCAGCACTGCATTCTTAAGAGATGGAAGAATCTTCTACTTGCCTTCCCTTTAAAGAATCTAAAGATGGTACCAAGGAGGGCTCCTGAGGCAGGAAACCTGATCATGACCTCCTTTCTCTCTGCCACTGCTCCCTCACTTCTGCGCTTCCCAACGAGACTTTCTAGCACATTCCCACCATGCAGATCTTTACTAGTGAAACCTGGTGCTTACGTTTTCATTGAACTCCCAAGTTCATAGTACTTGCCACTCCTTAAAAATATGAAACATTGAGTCTGCAATACTTGAGATCCTCTCACCAACTGGAACAGGAGTCAAAGGAAGCCCCTTCCTAAGGGCACCCTTCAAGTACAGAAAAGGGATGAGTAGGGCTGGATGTGTGCTGAAGCAACAACTTTACCTCCAAAGTGGGTCCAGTCAACAGATTTGCTGGGTAAGGACAACCTAGGAAAAGATTTTATAATAAGTTACTGATCTGACCTAGAAAACACGAATCTGGACTTTCTGTTGTTGGTGATAGTGTTCTGAGAAAGTCTCATGCAACCCAGGCTGGCTTTGAACTTGCTGTGTAGCCAAGGATGATGTTGAACTTCTGAACCTCCTGCGTCCATCTCCCAAGTGCAGGAACTGCAGGTATGGGCCATTTTATTATATGGTGCTGGTGATCAAATGAAGGGCTTTATGAATGCTAGGCAAGCATTCTACCAACGGGGGTACATCCTCAGCCAAAAAATATGGACTTTTAGCTGTAGCAAGGTCAGAATCTGCAGTGACTTAAGAGAACTTCCATACTCCCAAGTTTATGGCTAAGCTGGAAGGGAGTCTTGGTGGCTGGGAAGGGGCAGGCAGTCCATTGCATATAACTAAGTCTCAGCCCTAGCACTGAACTCCTTGGCTTAGTGGCTGTGCTATAGGATCTGTTGTCCAACCACCCTTTTCCAGGAAACATTGAGCCCTACTCCCTCCACACACACCCAGTCACTCTCCTTGGACAAGCTACTGTCACCCTGTTGAGATAAATGCAAGTCATCTACCTGATTCTAACATACCAAATTTCATTTTATAAGTGGAGTTTTAAATATTACAATTCTTATCAAATTCCACCTTAGGGTATTATATAAATAAAAAGGTGAAAATTAGTCAGGTGTGGTGGTACAACCTTGTAATCTTGGCTCTTGGGAGACCACAGTAGGAAGATCATGAATTTCAGACTAGCCTGGGCTATATAGTGAGATCCTGTCTCAAAACAAACAAACAAAAGATTAAGCTAACATTTCCTAAGAACCAGCAGCAAAAGGATCAACCCCAACTTAGCCAGGTAATTCTTTCTCTTTCCTTGGAATTCTCTGCCAGGGTAAGGAAAAAAAGACTGAAAGCTGCCTCAATGTCTGTGTGCTGTGGACCTGTAGAGAATGCTGATGATGTCATCTTTCAGCATGGCACTAAGAGAAAACAGAAACCTCTACCTGGAGGATATACTGAAATCAGTGTTACTTTCTCTGAGCTATTATAACCTCATCTTTAATGCCTGCTTTCAGTGAACAGATGTGCAAACACCCATTGGAGCATCCTCACAGAACAGAGGCACAGAATGACCTGTACTGACTTATTTACAAACGGATGTTGTCTCTGTCACAGATCATCCAGGCACAAGTGCCCATGCTCTAAACATGGGCAACAAAAATAAATAAATAAAAAGCAACAAAATAAAAGGATATTTAAGACAACACAAGAAAACCAGCTGTCTCGGGTACAAGTGGAAAGGGATCGTCCTGCTCTGCCCTCATAGCCCTGCGCTGTCTAGAAACAACAGGGCCCAGGCTTACTTGCTCAGCTCCTTGCTGTGCGCATCTGCTCCCTGCTCTATCAGTCTGTCCAGTACTTCCGTTGGGGAGGTAGAGGGCGCACAGTCTTCCTCAGGGTTTCCTTTCACTTTCTTCAGAAGCTCCTCAGTCTTCTTGCTCACAAAGTGACAGGCAGTCTTTGGCAAGGCCACCTCAAAGAGATGATCATATGGGGGAGGCTGACCACTTCCAAAGCTCACTCCCCTCTGAGGTGGAATTTTGCAAGGGCTGGGAGTGAGGATACTGGTTTCCAGAGAAGTCTGGCGATCTCTGTCCCCAGCGGGACTGGCATCAGTACTGCCAGAGGGTGGGTCTATAGGAGTAAAGGCTTGCTTTGGTGTGTCAGGCCCATGTTTGTCCAGAGAGGAGTGCAAAGTCTCAGGGTTCACGCTGGAGCCCTGAGTCCCAGAGGCTGCCAAATGAGTCTTCCGCTGAGAACCAGAGTGACTGTCTCGGTAGAAGGGAGAGTCAAAGCCCCCTCGAGGAACTACAGGATCCGCGTCTGCAGTGGTGATCTCAGAAAGTTCTTTAGATATCGCAGCTGAAATGAGGGTGGGGAAACAAGAAAGCCCTGTAAACACTCAACCAGGCAAATGGGCTTGGGTTTGTGTACTACAGGAGAATTAAAGCAGGCAATACTTTCCCTGTACATGCTGGAACACTACTTTTCACCTCAACACAGAAAGTCTAGCAAGCTCGTGAGTTATGACTCTAGAGCCTAGTTCTGAGACAGAAACAAGATACTTTCGCCGCCTTGTAGCAACCCACACATATTACCTTCTTCCTTATCTTTCTCAATACTGTCTTCCTCAGAAGCCAGGTCACCTAGGAAATCTGATAGATTCCCCAGAGTAACGGAACCTTTGTTTGAAGACAAATCCTCTGCAGAAAGATAGAGACAACTCAGGTCACACTGGCTAACCCCTGCAAAACACAAAGCTGAAACACTGCACACAGATTTACAATAGTTTTTCCAGATGAAGCGACAAAGCTGGGACCATTATGAAAGAGAACTTACGCAGCATTTACAAAAGTTCCAAACCCAATCCCACAAAAAATACACTTCTCAGGCCATAATGTCTCTAATGATAGATAAAATCACCTAGTTTGACCTGCTCAAAGCAGACACATTTCCGGTAGGAGCTTAACAGCTTTCTAATACTGGTATTGTTGTGTGCCTCTATGTCGGCATCAGTGCTATTCCTCCAGAACACCCTTCTTCCACCTAGCTTAGCTTTGAAACTATGGAGTTCAATGCAAAGAGACAAGCCAGGTCCATCATTACCCAGGGAGTTTACCTAGTCCTCGGTCATTCAGAAGATACGGCTGTCTCTGCAGGTGAGGCCTTGAGGAATCTGCTCTTTCTTCCTGAAAATGGAAGCAAACAGTGAAAATGCTGGGCATGTTCTGCGGCACATAGTAATGGGTTTAAAGGTTAGTTCACTGTTTTTGAAGACGGTGATTCTCTGTGTAGCCCTGGCTATCCTGGAACTCACTATGTAAATCAGGCTGACACCAAACTCAGAGATTGACCTGCCTCTGCCTCCTGAACGCTGGGATTAAAGGTGTGTGCTACTCTGACCAGGCTGTTTTTTTGGGGACAGGATCTATGTAGCAATGGAAGACCTAGAGCCTGCTACATAGACCAGGTTGGCCTCAAACTCACAGAGATCCAACTGCTTCTGCCTCCCAAGTGCTGCAGCTAAAGGCTTGCACCACCATGCCAGGCCCTAGGCTTATGAGCTTTTTAATGGCCTATTTTCACTTGCAAATAATTGGATTTTATTATTGGCTATAAATTATTGTCAGCTGTTTACCTTGAAGTGACAGACTTGATTCATCATTTAAGAAACTGTCACAGGTAGGGGAAGAAGAAAATATGAGCAAAGTATATATAAGTATGAAAATGTCATAATGAAATTCATTAGCCTGTACTGAATCTGAAAAAAAATCAATTAAAAAGAAATTTCCTGCTAAATATTCAGGCCTGAATAAATCATCTGTCAGTCACTTGTCTTTCAGATAAATTATGCTCCATAGAAAAAAAGCAGCTAGTTCAGCTCCAACCCAAACAGCTACAAGGTAGAACTCTCCTCATCTTGCAGCATGCAATAAAACACGCTCTGAGTACATTTCTTATTTTGCTTGCTCTTTTGAGACAGGGTCTCATTGCATCTATACTGGCCTTGAATTCACAATCCTTTTGCCTCCGCTTCTGGAGCCTGAATCAAACGTGTGCCACAATACTCGGCTACATTTCCTAAGGGTATATACATAATTTCAAGGCCCAGATTTAATGAAAACTCATCATTTCTGCTTCTTAGTGTAGAACATGCTTTTTCCTCCCTTTTCCTATTTCTAAGCTGAAAGAGTATGGGGGTGGGGGGGATGCAATACCTTGAGAGTCTGGTCTCTAACTTGGTCTGTGCTAAGGGGTCAGCATCTTATTACTGTCTGTACTGCCAATGACACAGGGAGGGCACACAGCAATCAATGTTGATTTGAAAGTTGGTCTAACCCACTGAGTCCGAAAGGCTTTTGGGGTCTCAGGGTTGGCAGGTCTTACCTTGAGAAGAGATGACACCTATTTTCAATTATTATGATTTAATTCCAACCCATTTGGGGTCAGGATGGTACTTGGCATAATTAGGATTTACAAGACAAGATATGCACTGGTATCTCTGGCCTGCCACTCACCTTCCTGGGGGGTGTGGCTGTGGCCTGGGAGGCTGGCCCATGTACACAGTCATCTGGGGGACAGGGCGGGGCTGGAGGAGGAGAGGTTGCCGGGGTTCCCAAAGGAGTTCCTTTTCCACCTGCTCAGAGACAAGGACAATACATAGAAAGGTTGAGCCAAATATCAGAAAAGCTATCATTTTCTCAACACTGCTACCACTACAAATATAGCTGTCTAGATAACTTCTTGATCCAGATTGGCCTCAGTGTCTATCTTTTTACTTGTTCTGAAAAGTCCAGAAACTTATGTTAAGTTTCAAAAAACAAGTTTATTACATGCCAAATGGCACCCAAAGTCACTATGAGATCCTCTGTCACAAAACACAGGCCCAAACCAATCAATCAAGTCCAACTACGACCCGCATACCCGTGGTCCCAAAGGCTTTACTGTAGGGGTGTGACAAGTCAGGCGGGACATTTCCAGGAGACGTAGGAGGAGTGGTCATACCACAAACCATAGATGGGCTCCAGAGAGTAGCCTAGAAATCAACAAGGAACATTAGCATCAGTAAGGGAGCACTGCGTCCTACACAAGATTTCTAGGCCACGTTCAGTTTAGAACTACAAACTGCATGTTGCATTTCAAGTGTCTGGACTCCAAGGTGCTCACGTGGTAACAATGGCTTTCTCTGCTCCTATTATGAGCCCTTAAAGGGCCCTCCTGAAACTCACAGTGTGCAACTGCCACACTACATACTAAATCCTGACCAATGGCCCAAGTTCACTAGGAGGAGAGCAGGGGAAGGCACACTGAGTGGCACCATACTTGCAGCGGCTCAGGTAACAGCCGTGTTGATGGGGAACTCAGACTCTGAGGTAGCTGCCCAGCTGGACTGAACATCAGCCGAGAAGTGGAGGAAGGGGTGGAAGTAGCGCCCCCTGAAATGAAAGGGAAGGAGGCAGGGGTGAGTATAGGGTGCTGAGTCATTCTGATAAACAGCCTCAATCTTCTAGATCATCTGATAACACTCAATTCTCTATTTCAAATCACTAGGGGCAGCTGGGCGGTTGGTGGCACACACTTTTAATCCCAGCACTGAGGAGATAGACGCAGGAGGATCTCTGTGAGTTTGAGGCCAGCCTGATCTATAGAGTGAGTTCCAGGATAGTCAGAATTACAGCCAGAAACCCTGTCTCAAAAAACAAACAAATAAACAAAATCACTAGAGGCTTGGGCATACTTGAGAATAAACTAACATCTAAAGATTCTTGTGGGTTGTTTTTGAGAAAGGGTTTCACTGTACAGCCCTGACTACCCTAGGACTGGCTACATTACCAGGCTGGCCTTGAACTCAGAGATTCACTGCCTCTGCCTTCTAAGAGTTGGGATTAAAGGAGTGTACCACCATATCCAGCCTTTAAAGATTCTTTAAATACCCTTTGGAAGTTAAAGTTCAGGCAGGTCTGATTTAGTGATACATGAGGACAATTTAAAAGGCACACCATGCCTGACAGCCTCATGTGCAGCCTCCATTACAGCTAAAGCCAAGAGCTGCCATGAATCCAGACTCTCGGACCATGTCAGTGTACAGTCTGGGGCTCCACTGGAAGCTGAGTCCCTTATGACACAGGAACCAAATGTAAGCACCTGTACCTCACTGTGTTATATGCTGAGGACTAGTCTGGGGATCTGCAATGTTATTAGATGAGAAACTGAGAACATTTAAGCTTTAAAAAGTAGAAAATAATTCAAACAAAATAGAGATAAACTCTAATTTAGACTATTCCAGGAGAGGTCCCTAGGCAGTCTTACTCTAGGAAGCGCACTGAAAGCAAAAATAAAAACAATGCTTTCCAGAGATGAAGGTGTAAACAGAGAGGACCTGTTGCTTTTTACCATAGCTATTCTGTGTGTCCACATAAGAGCTGGTGGTGACATCAGCTGAACGGTGAGGGAAGCAGGCAGAGAGCTGGTGAGACACAGAATAGCCGTCTTCATACGAGGCTTCTGTAGGGTCCAGAGAGATTTTGGCACACTCTATTACAACATCATGAGTTTCTAATGTCTTCCACCTAGAAAAGGCAACAAAAGTCAAGAAAGGTATGCACTAATTCACCTAACTACAATAGTTAAATCCTCAAGAGGTCAACTCAGTGCTGGCCACCGGACTGTGATTAGCAAAGCATGAGGCACAACCATGCTACCCAGGCAGGAACAGCACTAGATAAAAACTAGCCATTCATTGAACAAATCACCTTCCCTAGTTAAAACGATTTCATGAAATTAATAGAAACAGTTTGAAAGAAAAATATCACCAACAAAGATGAAGAATAGCTTCTTAGATTGAGTATACAGGCAGCTCTCGGGGAGGTTTGCTTTGACACAAAGCTAATCAGGGGATGGGAGGAACTGAAAGCACTAAGCAGCTGGGCTGAACTGAGGTCTCCAGCCAAAGCCTACAGGTTCTTCTAACACATCCTGGACCAAAAATACTGTGCAGCCAATTAAGACTAAAAAGCATGTAAAGATGTTAAAAGAGTTTCTGCAGTGTGAACCTCAGGCCAACACATCTCCAATCAATCCTACAGAAACATAGGAGACAATGCTGAGCTGCAATATGGCTTTGGCAGGAATAAGGCCAGTCAAAGGGAGCTATCCTCTGGCAGAGTGGTCAGCACAACACTGTGATTAGCATGCTTTCAATAGATTAGTGGCTGCCAGGAGCCATGGAAAATTTTACTGTGGACACAACTGCTGTCAAAACTTAACAAAACTAATTTTACTGTATGTAAACCATATACATTACTAAAATTGACTTTAAAAATCATGTTTTTGAATACTAAAGGACTTTTACCATCTTTTTGGTGGGGGTTAAATTTTATGTTTTTTGGCTTAGGGTCTCACTCTGTGATCCTGGCTCTCCTGAAACTCACTCTATAGTCCAGGCTGTCTTTGAATTTGTGGCAATCCCAAGTGCTAGGATATACCTGATTAGAATATAATCTCTTTTTAAAAGATTTCTTTTTCATTTTATTTATTTACTTGGGAGCAGGGGAATGCCACAGCGAGACAGGTGGAGATTGCAGACAGCTTGTGGAGTTAGTTCTTCCCTTTTACCACAGGAGTCCTATAGAGTGAACAGGTCTTCAGGCTTAGCAAACAGGCACCTGAGAACCAATGAGCAATCTGATCACTTTAGAATATCTTAAATGAGAAAAAAAACCACAAAGCTGTTCTGATAAGTGCCCACAAATAGACTGACAGTATTAAGTATTGAAATTCAAAGAACTAAAGGGGCTAGGAAATAACTCAACAAGTAAAAGCATGTACTCCTCAAGAAAGCCTGACAGACCTGAGTTTGCTCCCTGGTACCCACATAAAAAGTCAGATGTGGTAGCATTCAACTGCAATCCCAGCAGTCCTACAGCAAGATGGGAGAAAGAGACAGAGGAGAATCAGCCAGAAGCTCCAGTGCCAGTGGACTGCAAGGACAGAAACAGAGACTCTGCCTCAAAACAGAGAGAACTGATCCCTGAAAAGTTGCCCTCTGACCTCCACATACACACCTTCCCACCCCCTGTCACACACACAAACCAGAGGCTGGACTGTAACTCTGTCGCAGACGCTTGCCAACATCTACAAGACCTGAGTTTAATCTCCAGCACCACAAAAACCTGGAGTTACAGACAGTATTCACTCTCTTAGTTTCTTTAATCTCTTCTAGAGCTGCCAAATGTTCTACAAATGCCCCAAACCAGCAGAAGAGTTAAACTGTGCACACTGCCCGAGCATAAACTTGCTCTTAAGACACAAAGCTTTACTGTCTGTGGCTCTAAGTTCATGGTCATTCTGACAGGACTTTTGTCCTGTGTTTGTATGTGTTCCAAGCATAGTCCCTTGGGTATAGACATGTATATGGGGTTTTGGTGGGGGGGGACACTCCTCTTTCCACACCCTCAGCATGACTAGAAAGTGATTAAATGAGGAATCAAGACATATATACACACAGGATTAATTTTAGTAAAGAAAAGATCCCTTTAAAAAAATACATAGCTAGCAAGATGACTCAGCAGGTAGACATTTGAGGCCAATCCTAACTGCCCATGTTCAAACCCTGGATCCTACATACAGGTAAAAGGAGAAAATTATTCCAATAAGCTGTCCTCTTCTCCACACACATACATTCATGCATGCATGAGCATGTGCATACACCCAGACACATACAATAAGCAAATAAACATAAAAGAGGATTACAGTAGATGTTTTGCTTATTTTGCAGTATTGGGGATTGAACTCTAAATACTGCACATGCTAGGAAAGAATCCAGTTAAATATTTCACACTCCACATGTGTGGAGTGGAGTGCACCTGAAGAGGTCAAAGAATAACTTATGGGGGCTGGTTCTCCCACCATGTGGCTTCAGGTTTTTGTGCTTGGCTGTAGATGCCTTCAGCCACTGAGCCATCTCACTGGCTCTAAATCTTTTATTTTAGTTCATGTAAAACAAGTATTTCCTTGATACTCAAATAGACTTTAAAAAAAAATCTTGGTTTTAGTTTTTATGAGACAGAGTTTCTCTGTGTAACTCCAGCTGTCCTGGAACTCACTCTGTAGACCATGCAGGCCCCAAACTCAGATATCTAGCTGCCTCTGTCTCCCCAGGGCTGGGAGTAAAGGTATACACTACCACGTCAGGTTTAAATAGACTGCTCATATTTTAATGTCTCTGACAGCTACTCTAGCTCTACTAGCTGAACTACTTCCCTAACTCTCTAAGACCCAGCAAATACACTCTATGCTTCTCACTTATTAACTTGCTCTAAGGACCAGAATCACTGCTGTTCATCCTTCCCCACTCCCCAAGCTAACTGTTTTCATCTTTTTCCAAAATTGACTTAAATAATTATTAAGACTATGTAAGCATCAACCATGGCAGAGCTGAAGAGTTCTGATACAGTTTTCACTTGGGATGGCCTGGCATTGTTTCCTTCTCCTAGTTTATGATATGCCCAATGTTAACTGAGCTACCCTGGTTGCTCTGGACTGATGCCCACTGTCTCTCTCACATAATGAAATGAAGGATCTACAAGGGTTCGTCTCCCCTCCCCGCTGAGGGACCTTCTGGAGCTGTGTCAGTCCTCAGCCCACTGTTCTGACACCTCTTTGACCAACCTACATCAAACCCCAACCTTCTTGGGCTTATTTTGGTAGAGCATTTTCCCTTGGCCAGCTGGGGATGTAGGTTAGGGTGGGAGGGGTGTAAACTCTGAGCTCTGGCCTGTCTAAAAGAGACCCACACCACAGAACTTAAAAACCTCGTGAAGGAGTTGAGAAGCTAACACTATTTTGACTTCAGGATCTTATTAAGCATTTGGTTGTTTTTATCTTGCAACTTTCTGAAAGGTTTATTCTTCTAGTGTTTTGAAATCTCAAAGTTGAGGCCAGGCAGCAATCCTTCAATTGACTGACCTGTGCACTAGAAAAAGTTTTTCCATCTAGAAGCTTCGACTTCAGTGAATTTCTTTTACAGGTTCTTCTACTAAAGTGTCCTTCAAAACATTTTTTATTGGCTATTAGGCTCTGTCTACTATTCTAAAGCTGTTCTTTAGAGGTCAAAAGACCTGCCTCTGTCCTTTGTTCAGATGAGCCAGTCTTAGCTGTACTCCAGTTCCTTTGCTGAAATGCTTATTTAGGGGCTCATTTTAATTTCAAGAGCTCTTTACTATGTCAGAACGCCCTTTACTCCATCACCCTGCCCCATACAACCATGGACAATTGTCTGATCTGTGGTTTTGCTGTCAATGTTTCTTCCTGATTTCCTTTCCTTACCTCTCTGACTCTCTCACAGCAGACAAAGCTTCCTTCCAAGACCAGAAGGTCTATAACCCTGGGCACTGAGGTGCTATGTGCTGTTGACAGGGAAGGCCCCCAAGCTAATATGGCTGATGGAACATTTTGACCCAAGAGTACAATCTCCTGAAGTCCCACCACCTATAATAAAGACCTATTTTTAAATACAAAACACAGGGAGGAGATGAAGACATAAAGAATAAGTGTCTAAATGTGAAGAGCAGCAGACAGGTGTTAACTGGCATGTACAACTGGAGAAGCAAGGCCCTAAACCAAAGCTTCAAGCCACCAGCAAGCTGGGCTATACTGTACAACCCTTAGGGGTCCAAGAACTCAGAGCATTCAGATCTTCTGGAACTGGAAGCTAGACACAGCTACCCTGAAGCAGCTGTTGGAGAAGCATGGAGCATTTGAAAGCCCTCCAACTCTATGGTCCCAAAAAGAGCTCTACTCCTCACTGGGAATCTGGTTATTCTCTTCAGGAAAGTGAAGTCAGGTCAGAACAAAGCTTCAACAGAAGAGGTGGGGGCATGAATGCATCCCAGGCCAAAAAATTACGAGAAAGTACACAATCTAAATGCTCAAACCACCAAGCCTCTTCTTCTTCAAACCACCTACCTCTTCTGCAGAAACAGCCAGATCCTCACTAGCCTGGAGATCAGAAGAATTGTCTAAAAATCTGACCAGCTAAAGAAGAACACAATCCTAGTGTTGGTATCTCCCTCAGAAGCACAGACCCACACAAAAATGTTCTAGATAAAACCTCACAAGCAGCTTTCCTGTCTTCTCACTCAAGAACAAGAAAATCACTAAAGCTTTGCAAAAAGCCTCAGAGACTTAAAAAGGACAAATCAAAACAAGTGAAAAAAGGGGGGAAGGCTTAGAAGAAACAGACTATACAGAGAAAATAAAAAAGGCACTATGAGACGAAGATAGGCAACTAAAGAAAAGTACTCTATGAACTAAAGAGAGCATTTAGGCAAAAAGCCTAACAGTGGAAATAACCAAAGAGGGAAGGCTGAACATCAATGACAACTAAGCCTGCAGGAAGTAGACTAAAGGACAGAAAGGAAAAATAGGTTTTGTTGTCACCACTGGAGAGTAGGAAGGACAACAGAGGAGAGAAAGCCATGCTGAAACAGTGAAGGAAATCTACTAAGACCTAAAACCTTGTATGTTGAACAATGACAACAGATTCACATCAAGGTATATCACAAGGAAATTTCAGACTATCATACTAACAGAGAGATATTCTGCCAGCCTAGAGACAAAAATGCACCAGCAAGACTGTCAGCAAGATGGCAATGGGTTTCTGCCTCCAGTCACTAAAGGAGACTATTAGCCCAGCATTCACATCCAGCCAGGTCAACAACATCTTTCCTAAATGTTAGAGGATGCAGTACAGCACAACCAGAGGAAGGGCCTGGGAAATGACCCAGTCAGGAAAGTGCTTGTCTAATCCCTGGAACCCATATCTCCACACACACACACACACAAAAAGCACAGTGGGATGTGCCTATGATGACTTCCAGATTCAGAGAACATTCCTGCATCAAAAAAATAAGGTAGGAAAAAATTGATTGAGGAAGACAACCAACATCCATCTCTGGCCTTCACATGCATACACATGTGTGTACCCACCAACACACACACACACACACACACACACACACACACACACATACACACACACACCAAGAAAGAAGTCACGAAATACAGGAAATGGGAAAGAAGTCACGAAATATAAGAAATGGGAGATGTTGCCCAGGAAAGAGACCAATCAATGGCTCAAGAGAGCAAGCCCACAGCTAGCTCAGAACAGACCTGCCAAAAGACAAGCATGCTGCTGAACATCTCCAAGGCTCCCACTGTCCTTTCAGCCAAGGGACAGCATCCACTGACCTGAGAAAACTTGTCTTTACTACATTCTGAGGAAGCTCTCACTGCCTACCTAGATCAGCATTTGTTTTACTCCACAGAAGGATTTTGTAGAGACCCCTATTGCTGAAGCAGCCAGGACAGCACATCTGACAACAGCTCTCATGAAAAGCTTTGCCAGACACAGACAAGGGAAAGCCTATGCTTCCCAGGCCTCACTTGTAAGTTGCAATGACTCCCTGGAAAGCACTCTAAAAGAAGGTGAAGCCAGGCCCATCAAGGGTGACAATGCTCCTGCCCTCATCCTCTGCAAGTCTGTATCTAAGAGCAATCAGCTCTTAAAACAAGCCACACTTAAGGCAACTATAGAGAAAATAGCGAACATGGAGGCAAGGCAGAGCTGCCTCTGAGGTAGACAGGGAGTAGGAGGAAGAGCTTCTCAGGTAGAACTAACACTGGAATGTTCTGTTTTTCAGGCTGGGATTAGCTACATGTTTATTTGTTATTATACCTTGCTTTAAGCTGACTGGGGCCGCATGACAGAAGAGGTATGACTTTGTAAGGGTTATCAGGTATAAACCAGTATTTTTAAGATCCCAGAGATTGACACCTGTGGCTCAGTTTCCCCCAGCAGGCTTCCATGCCCTCACTGGGAATCATAAATCTGCCTGACAGGCTGACGGAGCTGAGCTTCATACAACTCAGCAGGTTCAGCAGCTCCTCAGGACACATCTGGGAATTCCTGCAGAGCCCACGGGGTGTCAGGCACCTGGCGATGCCCATGGAGAAAGGGACCCAAGTTGCCTCATTATTCCAAATATGCCTGGTCTTTCTGTAATCTCCTAGTTTTCAGCTACCCAATTAACCTCCCAACCTCCTTAAGTACCAAAAAGTAAGCCTTTCTGGGCTTCTGGGGACAGGCACTGAGGTGCCACTGCCTCTGCTCAAGCAGTCATAGCCCTGTGAGGAGTATGCTTTATATGCAAAGTTCCAGCCCATCGGCAAGTGGAATATCTATATTCCCAAAGGTATCCATAGATCACACTTTCAATCTCTTAAGAAACTCAAAAATTCTGTCACTAATTTGGTTTCTGTACCTTCGAGGGTCCAGTTCATGGTCCTTGGATCCAGTCACTAATTCCGGATGAATTCGCACATGCTCCATCATTGGCTAGAAGAGTTTGGGTTGACAAATTATAGGTGTGAAGTTGTGTGGCAAATCTACATGATGGAACATTATTTGACAACAAAAAGGGATGAAGTACTGATACATGTTACAACACAGATGAACCTTGAAATACAGTGAGAAGTCACTCACAAAAGACCACATCCTGCATGATCCCATGTATATGAAATGCACAGAACAACTCTTGACTAGAGAATTGGAAAGACAATTAGTGGCTACCTGGTTTAAAGTAGAGGTATCACGGATTTCTTCTTAAAATTTTCCTGTCTGCCATAATAGGAACGCTATAAAAGTACCTGTCAGAAAGAAGCTCTAAGGCTCACAACAGCTGCTGTTTTTAACTCACCTTGACAACTTCTTCAAAAGTCTCCACGTTTTCCTTCATACTATAGTAAGAGCGCAGGAAGGAGACGAAGTTACAAGGGTACATTCCATAGAGGCGATGAAAGAGGGCATAAACACTGGCATGGAGATGGACAAGGTAGACTTCTGTCACATGGCCTAAGGAAGGAAACCAGTTGTACAGACACGAACTTGAGGATGCCAGCATGTTTTCTCTCTGAAGCTCACCTCCTCCTCTCCAGACATCCCACAAGACTCCAAACACTCTTCCAACACTGAGGTTCCTCTTGGTGTCACTCTCCCAATCTCACAGTCACGCTCCCTACAATCTGTAGTGACATTTCTTGCCTGATTCAGCATGTGTGTCTTGAAAAGGGAGCAATTCCCCTCCCCTAGTACCACACACAGAATTTGGTACATACTGAACACGTGAGAGTTTATAGAAGGAGCATGTAAGAAACCTTCAAAGCCAAAATATGATTTATCTTAGCTGTGCAGAATTATAACTAAAGAGGAAACACTACAATGTAGATATTAGCTTAAAGTGCTTGGACAATTCCATTAATTTGGCCTTATCAAGAAACTCCAGTTCTCTAGGAGCAACAGTCCCTTTCTCCCAAGAAGATACAGTCAAGGTAGCAAACCAGGCTTGTGCTCAATAGTCCTTGTGTAGAAAGCTGCAGCAGTCTCCCTCATACATCATACATATTTCATCTTCTAACATGAATATTTCATGCTAGGACTATCAGAAGCTGTTCACAGGCTGACAGCTTCTGAATCCCTCTGATGGAGCTGCACTGCCTGTCTATATGATCTGATATGGGAAAATCTCATGCACTTCACACTCATACCCTAAAGAGAACACTGAAGTCTGTCTCCTCCTCCATGACAACCAATAGGTTCCCACAACTGAAGCTGTGAAGCTATGGTTGTACACAACAGCTCAGAGGACACAAGCATTTTGTAAGCTCAGTTGTACAGCATCCAGAGGTAGAAGCTGTGACCCAGTTTTACTAATGAGATTCAGGAAGTTGTACATCCTGTCCCTCAGTTTCTGACAACCCTTTCTGATCAACAGCATAAGGGCAGTGTCTTGCCAGTCCCACTTCCTATGTGCCCTGCAATAGGTATTTCTTCTCTATGTAGTAAATACCATACATTCTTCCTTCCCCTACAGCACATGGCTGCTAACAGTAAGGACAGCATTCCCTTGAAAAGCCTGATGAGGAGGAGATTGTAGCTGTACCTGGTTTCTTCAGGCACCATGACGAGAGACGGCCAAAGATGTCAAAGAAATCAAGAAGATGCTGCTTCCCTGACTGTGGGATCATCGGTAGCATGGTGATCAACACTAAGACACCAGTTGTGAGGACCACAACATCAGTGTCCATCTGCAGAAGGGAAGGGCGACGTCAGGCTCAGCACTGGGATGAGGGTCCAAATCCTGAGGTCACAGATCTGAAGCCCCTCTTGTGCTCATTTCCTGACCCCTAAGAATTTGAGGGACAGCACTGAAATAGACTTAGCAGAAGCACTAAGCCCTGTCACCATTGTGGTGATATTGGGGGACCATTTCCCTCCACCACCTCATCTGAGAGATGGGTTTAACTTGGCTTGAGACTCCCAAGTCCTGAAGCCTCAAGAGTCCCTAACCCACCACCTGGATGAAGTGTAAGAGACAGCTTACATTGCTACATTCACCCATTCAACTACCTGCTAAGACGTTAGCTTTCTATCAAGTGATTAAAGGACACTGCATATTGAGAGTTAGTTCATTTTCTCACTAGTACTGGGAACAAAACCCAGGGCCTATGTATGCTAGGCAAGAGCTCTACCACTAAGCCATACTCCCCAGACCAATTCTCTTATTTTTTAAAACACTCCTACAAGCCAAACATGGTGGCTACACCTGTAATTCTAACATGTGGGAGGCTAAGGCAGGAGGACTGCCTTGAATTGAAAGCCAGCCTGGTTCCATAAAGAGATTTAGATCATCCAGGACTACAAGGCAACATCCCAACATCCTTCTCAAACAAACAAACAAAAACAAAAACAAACCAAAAAAAAAACAAAAACAGGAGAGCTAGAGAAATGGCTCAGTGATTAAGAACACAGACTGGTCGTCTAGAGGAGCCCAGTTCAGTTCCCAGAACTGGATTGGTGGCTCACAAGTCTGTAACACATTTCTAGGGGATTCAATTCCCTCTTCTGGCCCCCATGGGTACCAGACATACATCTAGTACATATATACACATGCAAGGACTTGCACATACACATAAAATATAAATAAATAAATAAATAAATAAATAGATAGATAGATAGATAGATTCAAGACTGTTAAGGTGGCTCAGTGGGTAAAGGCGCCTACCATCATGCCTGAAAACCTGAGTTCAATGTCCAAGACCCACATGGTAGAAGCAAAGAACTGACTCCTGCAAGCTGTATTATGACACTTTTCAGAAACAATATTTACAGAGGCATTTCCTTCAAAACCTTGCAAATAACCTACCTTGAGACATTTCAATAAAGAAGGCAGAAGAGGTGCTTGAGAGAGCTTATGCTTCCAAGATGGCTGTAGTCTCACAACATGCCCCAGCAGCGAGAGGATGGATAGACGGGTGGCGGTTTTGCCTACATGCTCATTAATTTTATCCAAGAGGTGCTGAAAATGTAAAAGATCAAGAGAAATTTTCTTGTAAGTATATGAAGTTAACAAAATTACAGGCTGTAATGATAAACTCCCAGCTCAAGTCTTCTCTCTAATACAGGTCCCAAAAGATTTAATAAGCCCATGGGGTAAAGATATGGTCCAGCCTATAAAGGCTAAGGTTCCAATCAAAAGACTAATCAGCTTAATCCGAGATGTTCAAAACCACATTAGTGAACAAAGTTTTCTTCATTTGGCCTGAGAGAACAGCCAGCTGCAATTTATGAAAAAGGATCCCTTAACACAGAGTTGCAGAGGGACAAGACTGTATTACAAACAACTCAAGGTTGCAAAGGTGAAAGACCTTTATTGTAACAGTCACGCATCCATGTTCTAATCTTAAATGTAAATCAAGCTGCAGTCTGGCCTGGAGTAAAGAAGACCACAGTAGGCATTGTAAAAGCATGCAACCTCACCTGCAAATGCAAAACTTAGAGATTTTCCCTTATCAATACGTTCAAAAACCCTACTCAAAGCACAAGTTTAAAGATCTTTATTTTGGGGGCTGGAGAGATTGTTCAGTGATTAAAAGCAGTGGCTGCTCTTCCAGAGGTCCTGAGTTATTGAACCCTCAGTAACCACATGGTAGCTCAACCATCTATAATGAGATTTGGTTCCCTCTTGTGGCATGCAGGCATAAATGCAGGCAGAACACTACATAATAAATAAAGCTTTTAAAAAAGTTTTTATTTCAATTGCCATTAATCTACTACAATCCTGGAATTACAAGATTTCTTTAAAGAACAAGATTTGTAAGTCTCTGAAATTTACGTTACTTAGTAAACTTTTCAGAGCCTACAAATTATTTTAAATGTATTCAAGCCTTTGGAGATAAGCTGTGGACAAACTGCTGTGAATGTTCAGACATCCTCACTCAGTTACCTTATCATGTGGCTCTTGCAAGGTGGTCAGGATGTGCAATACCGGCTGAGAACTGGTTTCCAGATAGTAATCCACCAAGGTGTTCACAAGCATAGGCCCACGTTCTAAACAAAAAGGATAATTCATCAGACTTATTTCCTTTTCCCTCAATAATTGTCATAAAAGCCAGAAAATGTCCTTTTACACTATCCAAAGTCATTAAACACTGTTTTTGCCTTTCTAAATTCATGAGGCTAACAGGATAATTCCAAGCTCATTGGCCTAAATACCCACAAAAGCACATAAAATACTATCATAGTTACATGACTCCATGAGTACAGTGCTTGTGGCACAAGCATGAAGATATGAGTTCAAATCTCCAGAACACATAAAAAGTCAAGCAGAACACATAAAAAATCTGGGTATGGTCGTGAATACCTGCAGTCCCAGGAGGCCGAGACAGAAAAATAAATAACAAGCTTGCTGGCCACCAGCCAGATTCAGTGAGAGTCCTTGTTTCAAGGGAATAAGGCAAAGAGTGATAGGAGGAGACTGGAACATCCAAATGTCTTCCTCTAGCCTCTTTAATATGTGCACATGCACACATACAAAAGTAAAATAAACACATAAATAAACAAATGGCTGGAGAAATAGCTCAGCAGTTAAGAGTTTTCTGCTCTTACAAGAACCGTGGAGTCAGTTCCTAGCACCCACATGGTGGCTCACAATTCCAGGGAATTTTTCACCACCTTCTGACCTTCGGAGTACTGGACACATGCAGTACACATAAACTCAAGCATTTGAATGCACACACATTTTTTTTTTAAAGACAAAATGGCAGAACCTGAAGATAAGTTCATGAGCTGCTGCATGGTCTTCATAGCAGTGTGTGTGTACTTGAACACTGTCATAACTAAATGTTCAAAACACATGCAGTATGAACCCACCAACGGATATTCTCTCTGGCCTAGCACTTTGAAAGACTGTGTGGAGGAATCACCTGAAGTCCCAGCATTTGGAATACTAAGGCAAGAGGGTCACAAGTTCCAGGCTAGTTTGGAATACATAGTGAAACAAGGTCTCGAAACAACAACAAAAAAAGTGCAACTTTCTAACCACAAGGATGGAGGACTGAAGAGGAAGACAATCATTCATTTGCCTCCAGGCCCCAACATACTCAGCTCCAGATAAAGTTCTTCTTGTGAGGACAATTCTCCACTTACCAGAATTGAGGGACTCCTTAAAGATGGTTGTCACGTCATCCCGCACGCCCAGTGTGGGAGAGTCCAGCATGGAGAGTAGTTCCCCAATGTTGGCTAGCTGGGCCATTCTCTCACTCAGCTATGCTGTGCAGGCTCCAGGACGTGTGCTAAAGGCTTGGACAGCTCTTCATTAGGGCCACTACCAGACTGCAAAGTGGGAATAAGGACAGCGTGACAAATGACTCTTACTTAACACCCCATAAACCAAAAACACATAGAACAAGACAGAGAAGCTATTCAACACTGCCTCTGCAGGCAGAACTGTGCTGATGAAAGACAGGAATGTTCTTCCATGTACAAACTTAGGAAGCCAATGGAGCTCTTTGGAACTGTCACCACAGCAATCCAGTAGTTCTCTCTACATCTATGTCCACCTGGGTGTTGGCTAACACTGTTCCAATCCTGCTCTACAAAGTAGACGAACTGCTTCCACAAATTAAGCTGCACATGCTACTCTCTTCATGGCACTGTCAATGGCTGAAGTTAGAAAGCTGGTTAGGCCACCAGTCCAACAGCTGGAGTTAACCAGGGATTGTCTTGGATTTTAGCACACACTCATTGGACACATCTGCTGCATACCCAAAAGCTACCGGCGGTAGGCAAGTGGTTGTACAGTGGGACCACTAGGACACACTGCCAAACTGGAAATGGAACAACTGCCTTATCTTTACATTTACATCACGACATATGTGTGACCATCTTTAAAACAGATTTAAACAGGCAGAGACTCACTACTATGTATAAGAAGCACTGTGTACTTTCAACAAACATCATTGTATATGCTCCTGATACTACTACCACATGATGGGCATATGCATCTACATTATGAAGAGAGGGAAATAGAACAAGCCTTTGCTGTTGGTCACAGAGAAGGCAAGAAGTAAAACCAGGGGAGAACAAATCTGAACCCAGATCTGCCTACCTCGGGAGCCCCAAATCTATGATTATGACATTGGACTAAATATGTAACTTTAGTCAACATAGTGACTATGAAGCAAACATGTTTTAGCTTTACTTTACAAAGGAGAATAAGGATGCCCTAAAATGCTAAACAAATATAACCCTATTTTTTTGTCTTGAGGAAGCCACAGTAGCAGTTCTTAGGCTTGATTTGGGAACCACCTGGAATGCTTAGGCCCAGGCAATCACTCTAGTAACACCCCAGGCAATTCATCTGGTTTTTTTCCCCTCCCCTTTTTGAGATGAGGTCTTGTTATAATGCTTGGGCTAGTCTTGGAAGCCCTGGGCCTAAGCAAGCCCCCACCTCAGACTCCACATTGTTAATTGTTAGGATTACAGGTACCCACCACCTCATCCAGTTCCAAGTGGTTTTTTTTTTTTTTTTTGCCTGTTTTTAAAAGATAGTCTCACTATGCAGCCCTGGCTAGTCTGGAACTTGTTATGGGTTTCTCTGTGTAACTGCTCTGGCTGTCCTGGAACTCACTGTATAGATCAGACTGGCCTCGACCTCACAGAGATCTGCCTGCATCTGCCTCCCAAGTGCTGGGATTAAAAGCATGCGCCACCACTAGTCAACCATTTTCAGGTTTCTTAAATAGGTGATACAAAAGCCTGTTTGAGAAATACTTAAAAAAAATCCAACTGAAACCAGCATGGTGTCTCATGCCTGTAATCCAAGCACCTGGGAATGAGACAAGAGAATGGCTATAAATTTATCTTAAATTACAGTGTGAAACCTTGTATCAAAAAAAGCAAAAGGACTAGAGAGGTGACCCAGTGGTTAAGAGAATTGTTACTCTTGCAGCAGACCCAGGTTCAGTTCCCAGCATCCACATGATAGCTCACGATCTGCTAAAACTCCAGCTCCTAGGAATTCAAAGCCCTCTTCAAGTCCCTTCAGGCATCTGCACAAAATTGTTATACACACACACACACACACACACACACTCAGGCAATACATACACATAAAATAAATCAATCTTTTTTAAAGCTTAAAACTAAAAATAGAAATAAACTTTATCTTCTTTTTTTTTAAAAGATTAATTTATTTATTATGTGTGTATCACTCCTTCCATGTGTGCCCACATGCCAGAAGGGGGCGCCAGGTCTACATTATAGATGGCTGTGAGCCACCATGTGGTTGCTGGGAATTGAACTCAGGGACTCTTGAAGAGCAGTCAGTGCTCTTAACCACTAAGCCATCTCTCCAGCCCCAAACTTTATCTTCTTACAAACTGAATTAAATGCTGGGTACTGTTGGTGCATGCCTTTAATCCCAGCACTTGAAAGGTGGAGGCAGGCGGATCTCTGTGAGTTCAAGGCCAGCCTGGTCTACAGAATGAGTGCCAGGACAGGATCCAAAGCTACACAGAGAAACCCTGTCTTGAAAAACAAAACAAAAACAAAAACAAAACTGAATTAAATTAAGCTCATAAATGAAGATAATATCAACACAGCCATTTTTGCTCAGTGACAGGATGAGGTGTGGTGCAAAGCTCTGTACACTCCTCACTGATTAGCTGGATCCCATCATAACAGAAATAGCTCTAGGTCAACACCTATAGGACAACTTCATAGGAGTACATCTGCCTGATTAATCCCTGCACTTATTTACAGTATGTCACAAAAATTCTTCCAGCTAGTGATGGAGAAAGTAATTCACAAATTTCAAATATTCTGTTCCAAGTTTGTTTTTATTCTATCTACTGTACGATAAGCGAGATTCTGTCTTCAGTATACTCCGAAGACAGTAATGCCAGGCTAGCTCTCCAAAAGAAGACAGTACAGAACGCAGTGACAAACCTAGACGGTGTCTGCTCTACCACCCAGGCATTGTCAGAACAACAGGCTCAGGTTACTTGCCTGTTTTCAAATTGTAAATGAAATTTTGGTGAACAGTGGTTTCTGGAGTCTTCTCTTTCCAAAAGGCTTACAGAAAGCCAAGATCAAGTTTTATTCTATAACACATCAGAATATTTTTGACAACAATTTTTTTATCTGTGGGTCTCAAATACACTTTTTAAAAAATCTAACTCTTAGTCCCTAGAAGAATCGGGGCTGGAGAGATGGCCCAGATGTTAAGAGCACTGGCTGCTCTTCCAAAGATCCTGAGTTAAATTCCCAGCAACCACATGGTGGCTCACAATCATCCAAAATGAGATCTGGTGTCCTCTTACAGCCTGCAGGCACACAGAACGCTGTATACATAATAAATAAAATCTTTAAAAAAAAAAGAATATAAATCTTGGGCTTTACGGGAGATCCTCATTAGCAACCCTAGTTCAAGCACTTTAGATACTCTCATGAAAGCTAAATCACAAGCTTTGTAATCAGTCCCTGGACGGGAATATTAACTTTGACCTAGGGAATCCAAGCATAAAGTGCTAAGACAGACATGGTAGGTTTGAAGAGAGCTTCTGTGTGCACCATCAAAGAAACAGACAGGAAGGGCTCATGACATGTATGTGCAAAGAGAGAGAGAAGAGTCTCCGCTTGACCACCTACTAAATGCACCTCGGTCTGTGGAAATTCAGCACCACAGGCACAGCAACACAGCCTAGTACAGCTATGGAAACAGCATACTACAGAAAAGAACATTATGGAGAATTCAAAAGGCAGATCCCAAAGAACCATTTCTGCATCCCACAGGGCTAAGTAACATTTCCTTCAGCATTATTTTGTTGGAGGAATGCCGCAGTACCACACAGAGGGCGCTGCGCATGTAAAAAAAAGTCATAACCTTCAACACTTACTCCTGATTCTCAAACCTGTTGCTCTGTCTGTCTTTTGGATCTCTAAAAGAGACAAATCCTGGATAATATCCCTGGCTCCCCACACCCCCAAATCCCACATGTACCCATCTGCAAACTTCTTCATTTTGCTATGTATCCCCTTTGCCACACCCCAAAGCACAGCCCCCACCCATCTCCCTCTTCTAAACAAGAGAGCAGCAGCCTCCCTCACTCTGCCTGCTATGTACAGAAACTCTGAACTATGGAAATCAGGATGGCTCCCATTTAAAATCAGTCAGAACGTTCCCCTGGAGAATCAGAGCCAAACTTACCAGTGTCCTATACCACCCCATGTCATGAGCCAATTACTTATCCTTCACCTCTGCCTCTTCACCCCAAGCCAGTGTGTCTCCTTGCAGTTGGCCAGGCCTTCACACGGGCTCTTCTTTCTACTCCTAGAGCCCTCTCTCCCACACCCTTGTCGCCACCTTTCCTTCAGTCCTCTGGTCAGAGGACCATGTCTAAGCAACCTCCCCTGATCGCATGTTAGAAGAGCAGGAGGTTGTTGGCACCACTTGGAATAAAAGAAACATTCTAATCACGAGGAACCTTCAGCCAAGCTGACCCTCTATGGCTACTGGTCAACTCTGAGTGCATGAAACATTATGGTCTCAACAACAGGGAAAGCAGGATCTTGAAAAGCAGACTTCCAGTCTTCATACTTGTAACAGGCTAATGTGCCAGTCTTTGAAAGGCTACAGTTGAACAGTTAACTATGGGAGTGGGTGGCATGTCTAACATCCTTTTCCTGTGTAGGGTAGATATCACTACATGGTTCATAGGACACCTAGATACAAGGTCCTGCTATTATGGACAAGAAGTATATTTAAACTAACAGTTCACACCTAAATATTAACTCAAACAAAACAGTCAAGACAAAACCTAAGGCCTGCGTAAGTCAAAATTGTCAACTTAAGTACAAAATATGCAATTATGAAAATAAAACAGTGAGTTAATGATATATCCAACATAGTTCTGGAGATCTAATCCAGGCCCTGCACATAGTAGGCTAACACTACACCACTGAACTCCATCCCCAGTCCTAATCAAGAACATTTAAATCACTTGACAAATTAATAATACAAATATTAAAAATAAAAATATTAAAAGAGTAGTTTATTTAGATAATTTTACAAATAACAATGTATGTTCTTTGAGTCAACCACTTCTAACAATTTAAATAACACATAAAAATGAAGTTCTATCTTAACCATAACTTCACAGAATCATTTCCTAAAAATTTACATTTGCTTGTCTATGTGTATGTACGTATCTCACACACTCATATATGGAAGTCAGAGGGGCACTTTCAGGAGTTGGCTCTCCTTTTCCATGATGAGGATTCCAGGGATCAAATTCACGCTGCCAGGAGAGTGACAAGCAGATAACTGCAGATATGTCCCCCAGTCCTGAAATGCCACAGAATTGTTTTTGAACCTTATTATAAACAAAATAACCTGTAAGAACTGCATTTAATTCAAAGTCTTTCAAGAAGAAAATCATGTTTGGACAGCTTTCCATCTTATGGGATGAAATAAAGATAAAGAATCAACTTTACATAAAAAAATTATGAAAAGAAATCCATAACCACCAGTAACAATAGAACATAAAGGGCATGAAAAGGGTTAGGCTAGCTCACTGGTAGAAAGTCTGCCTAACATGTCAGGGCTTGGGCTCCATCCCTAGCACCACAGACAAAATGACACAATAACAAAAAAGTACGAAACCAGGAAGAAGGGAACAACAGTAAGAAAAATAAAATAGCAAGATATTTGTTATTCAGATTTTAGTATATTCTTTATAAAAAATGCTTAAGTCTTGAGCCTATTTTAAAAAAGCCACTAGAATAAAGACTATGAATTGCCAGCGCTCTCTAGAAGCGGAAGCTGAAGGATGACTGAGACCTTTGAAGCTGTGAGTCCCTAGACAATCACATACTGGAAATATCCCTGAGTGTGGCCTCATGACAGGACCAGTGTGCCTGGTCAGAGGGTACCACACATATCACGGACACAGTCACCAGAAGACAATCTGGTGCTCTGCACTTGTTGAGGAACTTTGCTACACAAAAATTTCACACTTTTAAAATCTGAGTGCTACAAAAAATGAAATTGTAGTAATGAAAAATGACTAATAAAATTTGAGATTTATTTTTAACAACAGTGAAATTCCACTTTGATGTAACTGATCTCAACACTTAATGCTCTGACTCTAAATTCATATTCAGTGAAATTCTAAGAGGGGCTAATGTAGTCCAGTGTGGTTGCAAACACCCGTAACCCCAATATCTGGTGGCTGAGCCAAGAAGATGGAGGTCAGTCTGGACTACACAGTGAGACAGTCAGAAGGGACAGTATGAAGAACACATGAAGAAACTGAGAAGCAAGAGTCAAACTCAAAGAGAATGAACATCTAATTTCTAAGCATGTAACACCATCTACCAGTCACACTAAGTCCCTGTTTGTGACATCTGACTACCGCATGATCCTCATGATAAAGGTGAGGCAGTGTTGAGCTTAGGAGCTTCCACTGACTACAAAATGAGTCACATTAGCAGTGTATGTATAAAGATAGTAGAATAAACACCCTTCCATCTTCCCTGACTCCTGTACAGAACACAAACATGACAACTGGTACCTGCAATGGCTAATCTTCATCGTCAATCTGATATTGAGAATCACCATGGAAACACACCCCGTGTAGGTGCTGCTAAAAAGGTTTTAACGGAACAGAGCAAACTTAACCCTGAGTGTGGGTGGCACCACACCGTAGGCTGAGACCCCAGATTGAATAAAAATGAGAAAACGAGCTGAACATCACTCCCTGCTTAAGTGAAGATGGAGTGTGAGCAGCTGCCTCAAGCTTCCACCACCATAACTTCCCTGTCATGATAGTCTCAAACTGTGATCAACCCTTCTCCTTCCTCCAGTTGCTTTTGTCAAGATATTTTTCACAGCAACTAATACATCACTTTTGCTAATAAAGACTGTAGCTCAAGGGACTGGAGAGATGGCTCAGAGGTTAAGAGCACTGACTGCTCTTTCGGAGGTCCTGAGTTCAATTCCCAGCAACCACATGGTGGCTCACAACCATCTGCAATGAGATCTGGTGCCCTCTTCTGGCCTGCAGGCATGGAGGCAGAACACTTGTATACATTATTAATAAATAAATCTTTTAAAAAAAAGATTGTAGCTCAATAGTTACTTAGGTCACTAAGACTAAACTCAGATCTGCATAAGTGTCAGAGTCTCAATAACTATCAAGGGTATATTCTGGGACTTCAAGACTCCATCAGTTCCTGAAAACCACCAAAAGAAATAATTTATCCAAAAAAGCAAACTTAAGACCACCAACAAATACATCAAGAGCTAAAGTGCTAACTCACAAAGCTACAATGCATATTGAAATCACCTGCAGAGGACACAAATACCAAGGCCAGGCCCTACTGCACAGCAGGTTACAGGGTGAGGTCTAGACATGGCATCCAGCTTGTTTACAGAATCCAAAGTGGATTCCTGAGGTCAAGCCAGGGCTAAAAACTTCTCCCTAGTTAAATGACTTGCTTTAGGCTTCAATTTAATTAGTGGCTAAAACAAGAATTTTCTACTCACAGAGCTGATTTTCATGGACGGCCCATCTTTGAGGCCAATTCTTCTCCTATAGAATGGAAATAGGCCAAGTGTTGTTGTAAAAAAGAAAATAAGCCATTTGTGTAATACACTCAGTGCCTGGCATCAAACAACAATTAAGAGGTCACTGGTGATATGGCTGACTGCCTCAAGCCATATATGCTCTAGTGCTTGGCAGGGAGCTAAGACTATAAACACTTACACCCCTGAACATAGAAACATCTGCATGCTGGGGCACCAATGGGCAAGGTGAGACACTCCCTCCTATCCTCTCCAGTCACTAGACTAAATGTGTACCTTACCTGTTCTGAGGACAGTTGGTACATCAGTTTCCAGTGCTGTCAGCCTGGTGTCTTTCATGGTCACTAGAAAAAAAAAAAAGAACAACAAAAAAACCCACATACATATGTATTTATAATAACCTTAAAATGAAGGAAAACCTGAGACCTGATCAGAAGAGAGTTTAGACTGGCCTAGTACAGCTCTGCCCCCATCCTTGGCAGGTAGTCACCTGCTTCCCACTGCAGTGAACTCTAAGAGCACAGTCTCCTCTCCTCTGCACTAGCAGCAAGAGGGCAGGGTAGTCTAGAATAGGCTCCCAATTGAAACATTAGCTCTTTCATTTATAGCTCTGGGATGCTTAGTGACAACACTAAGTCACTTAGCTTAGTGCTGTCTTACCTCGAATTATCTTCCAGGTAAACTGAGAATATCCACAACCTCAACACTCACATAGAGCTCCAGTGAAGACCTCAGAAGACTGGCCATAGTAGTAAGGTCAGTAAGAGGCACAAAAAACTTAGTGGGCCTGCATCCTCACCCTCTCATAGGCCACACTCCCTCCCAGCCCTGCTATATAGCCTTCAGAGAATTGAAATTCCTCAGCCATGAAGGCATTCGACCCACCTGAGCACAGGCACATCCAGTCACATCATCTAAAAACCTCTGCCCTCTCCTCAGCTGATTCTTCATCCTTCCTAGGCCTTCTCTGCCCTCCCACTGCCAGACCCCATCAGCTCAGGCTCATGGTCCACAAGAAGTCTGTACTGGTCACTTTCTAAAACCCCATTAAGCGAGTATGAGGAACTGTTGGACACACTGGGGAGCAACTGCAGCCAACAAAGTACCTGCGCCCTGGCAGCAGACACAGGGGTTACTGAATGTACAAACCTGATTTTGCCTTCAAGCAGCACAGGCTAAGTCTAATCCTACATGACAGGAATAAAATATTTCAACAGCAGCTTCTCTCCTTCCCTTCCCCTCTACCCTACTTCTGTCCATGCTATTCATTATCCATGTCAAATAAGTATATATATGAACATGTTCCAGTTTGCTTTTTAAACATGAGCCCTTCAGAAACAGTGGGTTTCGGGAACTTACTTCAGGCTCAGAGGGTACAGGCACCTGCTGCCAAGTCTGACAACCTGAGTTCGATCCCCAGAGACCCACATGGCTTATAGAAGAAAGCCAACTTCGTTTAATTGTCCTCTGACCTCCACACATGAACAGTGGTGTGTGTGCCCACAAACATACACACAAAACAAATATATAATAAATACATTTTTCAAAATGTATGGGTTCTTAACCCCATGTTTAGGGATTATCTGATTGGGAGATTGTAAACTTCACGAGGACAGGGACCATGTGTTTGAGACACCCAGGACTATCTTGGTACTTAGTACATAAAAGGCAAATGTTCAGTCTGTTCCCTTGGTTACCACTAAAGTCCCCGACTGTCAATCCTGGCTCCATACTACAGACATCTACTTACATGGGGTAGAGGACAAGCTCTGGGTCAAAGTCAAACAGCAGGACTGAATACCTCTCCAATACAGTCTCTGCCCTAGTGACAGGGTGATACAGTACCACGTGGCACACACTCAGGGAGCCATGCCAACTGTCTCAGCAGCCACAGCAAGTCTGTGGGCAGTGCTGCTGGCCATTGGCCCTATAAAAGCTCCTGGCCAGATCTTGCAAACAAGAAATGCCTCCTAGCTGCTTCCACTACACCAGAGCTGAGCTGGTGCAGGCGCCTCTCATCTTCAGAATCCTAAAACCACCTGTTAATCAGTGAATCACACTGACTTCCTCTTATAAAATAATCCCACTTGGATCTTCTACCTGAAAAGAAGTACTTAAGGTAGGATAAAATTAGGATACACTAAGATGAGATCCTATAGCCTGCCAGGCTAGGGCCATTTTCCTACAGAACACTACCACAGGAATTCAAGTGGGGTTTGGCTAAACAGTAAGACTTCATTACTTTATCCTCATGCTTAACAATACAGTAATAGAAATGGCTGGCTTCAGTTTTCTGTGGTACACTAAAGTCTATCTACTAGTATTCTATTTTTAAGCATTCACTTATTCTTTTTATATTTAAATCTTGCCCAGGGGAAGGGAGTTAACTGAGAGGTAAAGCATGAACCTCCATGAAAGTGAGGGGTACAGGTGGAAATGCTCATCAGAACATAAGAGTAGCATTAGCTCCCCACTTCTTCAAAAGATATGAGGAAAAAAGAAAAGTACCTCATATCTAGAGTTTTCCTTCCTTGATATCCAAAAGTCATGTTCACTATAACTTTCTTTTTTTTTCTTATTATTCTTTTATTAATTATTTTACATTCCAAGCACAGCCTCCCCTCTTTCCTCTCCTATTCCGTCCTCCCACCTCCCTTCTGACCCTCTCCTCAATCAACTCCTCCTCCATAATTTCATTTCTATAAGCAGTCTTCTGAAGTAAAAATATAAGGTAGGCTTGAGGGGGCTGGAGAGATGGCTCTGCAGTTAAGAGTACTGCCTGCTCTTCCAGAGGTCCTGAGTTCAATTCCCAGCAACCACATAGTGACTCACAAGCATCTGTAACGAGATCTGGTGCCCTCTTCTGGCCTGCAGGCACACATGCAGAAAGAACACTGTATATATTTAAAAAAAAAAAAAAAAGGCAGGCTTGAGGAAGACAGGGGCTTTGTGTGTCACCATGGTGTAAACAGAAAGAACAGTGGTGGCAGATTTTCACAATTTATCTTAATTAATTTTAGTCTTTAGATATCGCCGGATCATTTATATATCTGGGATTACACATGAACTCCAGAGCAACATCTGTCATTAGCAGGACCTGTATATATCTTTTCACTACCTCTGTCAGGACAGTGGCTCAAATAAGATAAATAACTGCACGTCAAGTCACCTCGGAGAGCTTTGTACACAATGGCCTATAATATACAAATGCAACTCTCAGTATCAGTGAGGTTGAGTGCCTCTTTAATCTTCTCTAGTCAAGATTTTATCTATAAAAACCTAAAGGCAATTCAGACAGACTCATGCACAAACAGATTCCTGCATCATCAAGTATAGTTGAGACAGAGCAGAAATGTTACACTGCTATGCGTATTTGGTCCTAGCTCAGAGTGAGTTAAAAGAAACGTCTCATCAACTGAATCAAAATGCTCTCAGCACTAATGCATGCAAACAAATTAGACACTTGATTTAATTCTCTTTCTGGGCACAAAAGGAAGAAAGGGTAAAAGAGCTGATGGTACAGGTGTAATTTTTAGTCTTCAAAGCTGTAGAATCTTTCAAGGTCACTGAAGTCAGGACAAGAAAGCTCCAACACACCAGACTGTCTGTCCACTTATAATGACTGTCCTTAGAGTCCTCAATGGACAATGGACAGGTTACTAAGCTCACTTAACTCTGAAGGTGACAAGCCCTCTAGATATAGGCCCACAGGGTCACAGCTAGGTTCTACAAGGCAAATTTTTTCTTCAGATAATAGTTCTATTTTGACAATTAGCATGAACAAAATTATGTACTATGAAAATGCACCTGGGCTGGGCATGGTCATGCACACTTGTGATCTGGCACTTGGAGCAGAGACAGTTGGATGGAGTGAACCACAGGCTAGCCTGGGCAGCCAAGTAAAACTGTCTCAAAAAACAATAAAATAAATAAAAGATACCAAATGTATATTCAAGAACTCACTACATAGAGCTTCCCTAAACAGAAGCCTTCCAGGGCAGCTGAGTACGGACACTAAGCATGTAAATTTCAAAGTCAGTCTGGACTACAAAGTCAGTGAAAGCTAGACAACAAGATGGACTGAGAACCTGTCTCCAACAACAGAAACAAACAAATAATCCAGGGTAGAAGGCACAGGGCTGGCCAGCACAGGACAGTGCTTTTCTAAGTGTGCTCCCCATTATCACCAGCAGTGCCCAAGAACTTACTAGAAATGCATGTTCTTAAAAAGAGAGGGAGATGCCAGGTGGTGGTATTGCACGCCTTTAATCCCAGCACTCGGGAGGCAGAGGCAGGAGGATCTCTGTGAGTTCGAGGTCAGTCTGGACTACGAGAGCTAGTTCCAGGACAGGTTCCCAGAGAAACCCTGTCTCTGGGAAAAAACAAAAACAAACAAACAAATAAAAAGACCTCTTCCTCAAAATACAAAGAAACAAAACGTGGTGGTGGTGGTGGTGGTGAGGCAGGCAGGATCCTGAGCCTTGCCCTGCCTTTATGATGCAGGGCATGAATCTTAGACAGTGGACCTTTGAGGTGATTCCAACACCACTAAAGGTCAAGAACCCAGAGCGGGAGGGGGGGGGAGACGACATGGGATGGGACAGGACTTTGGGGTTTCTGGAGAGATGTCTCAGCAATTAAAGGCACTAGCTGCTCTTGCAGAGGACCCAGATTCAGTACCCAGAACGCACATGGTAGGTCACAACCAACCAAAACTGGATTTGTAACTTCAGTTCAAGTGTACTGAAGTCATTTTCCAGTCTCCTCGGGTACCTGGATGCATTTGGTGCACATACATACACTCAGGCACACACACACGTGCACATGTATACACACACACAGTTATAAAATTTTTTAAATAATCATAAACTAAATCTTAGTGGGTGTATATGTGTTAGAGAGAGAGAGATAAAAAATTTAAAATAATAACTATAAAATAAATCGTAGTGGGTATAAGGGGGGGGGAGAAATCCAGGGAGCAGAAAGTGGTGAAGACCGATAGTAAGAAAAAAAATCTATATACAAACACCTTGGGGAAATATAACAGGTTCCACCAGTGAACTTTTCCTACCTACCAGCTTTCAAAAAAAATGTTTTTAACAAAGCCTAAGTGTGTAAGTTTTGCTGAGATTTTGTTGTTTTGTTTTTGTTTTTAATATATATAAGTGTTTTGCCTGAAAAATATCTGTGTACCACATGTGTGCCTGGTACCTGCAGAGGATAGAAGACTGTGTTGGATTCCCCTGGAGCTGGAATTACAGGTGGTTGTGAACCCTCATATTGATGACAGAAATTATACTTAGGTCCTCTTAACCACTTAGCCATCTCTCTAGACTACAAATGTGTTTTTAAGAGCAGTAAGCTATCTAAAATGACTGGTTGGGCTTTAAGCAAGGTTCATAAAATCTCTAACACTGTTTCCAAAATCTCATTATCTATATGCATTTTGGGGTGATGAGGTATCATCTGTAGAAAAGGAAATATTGGCCCACAGGTTTTTACAGACCTTAAAAAAAACAGATTTGCCTTGGTCCCCCAAAACCCAACTAGACATGATTGTGTATACCAGTAATCCCAAAAATGAGAAGGGAGAGGCAGGAGGATTAGAAACTCAAGCAAAGTCTTGCCTATATGGTAAGTCTAGACTGGTCTACATTTTATGAGCCCCTCAAAAAACAAACAAAGGAGTTGGAGAGATGGTTCAGTGGTTAAGAGAACACTGGCTGCTCTTCCAAGGGACCCGGGTTCAAGTCTTAGAATTCACATGACACCTCACAACTGTCTGTAACTTCAGTTTAAGAGGACCTTAAAGTTCCCATGGCAAAACACTAATACACATAAAAGAAAATAAATAAATGAATGAATAAATAAATAAATAAATAAAACAAAAATTCCACTGACCTATGGGTTAGTTTAGGAGATCAGCAGACTGTGCAGTTTATCTTAATACAACATTAAATACTTGGCTTCTGAAGCCAATCAAACACAGTTCATCTTCCAGCTCAGCAAGTCTCAGAATTCTTTCCTGGTCTCCCCAAGGGTATAAGAAAAGTAAAGGGGGATCAGATACAAAAACACTTAGATGTGCATAGCACATAACAAACTTTTATAACAATGTTACCACTAAACAAAATGTATTGCAGAGTAGAGTGCTAATTTAGCAGCCCAGCCATTTACTAGCAAGTATTTGAAACACTGGTAAAACCATTCTGTTACTTAAAACCGATACACTTCAAATTTGCTACTGTTCTCTGTGAGGGACACAATGTAGCACAAATTTAACCACCACAGGCAGAAGAGTACTGCTCCTGTCCTTACCTGCACCACCACCCAGTCCTGCTCTATTTATCTCATCACCAGACTAAGATAAAATCAAAAGCATTCTGACCCTATGACCCTATTTACTTACATCATGACCTATGAATTGCAGGTCAGTAACTACCACGCCTTGCTTGGGGATAACACTGTGCATTTAAGACACTTATTCATTAGATGTTAATCTGAACTCATTTGGCTATAAAATATATCGTTACTTTTACTATTTCCTTTTATACTTCCCCCAAAAAAGAGGAGGAACTAGAAGAAACTGAAACTGACAAGGTCCTAAGGTCACATATCTTTTATATGTGTACGTGTGTGTATATATATATGTGTGTGTGTGCGTGTGTATATTTTTATTCTTTCTCATTAAAATTTACATTAAGTCACTAATTTTTAGCAACTACAGACTTAAGAAGAGAAAAAAATAAACTCAAGTTACAGGAAATCTCGGTGCAATTTAAATGAGTATGCACATCAAAAAAAAAAAAAAAGAGCAATGACCAGAGGCTTTAAAACACACACATGAGCAAAACAACAACAAAAAAACTCAACTATTTCATATACTTTTCTTTTATGCCTGAAGTTACTTATATATGACCAATAAGCCTTGTCTTTTAAAAGGAGACTTATACGAGAAAATAAAGGGAATCACTGTTTAAAGGATAAACAAGCTCACCCTCCCCGCTGGCCCAAGAGTCACTCGCTCGTTATCTTTGTCATTATAGAACTATTACCATAGAGTGAAGACCAATTAACATTGGTCAGCAAGACTTTCAGTCAAGAAATCTGGCATTCAAGGATATCTAGTCAGTTCTGGGAGAAACTAATGTTAGTTCAGTATGGCACTGGAATTCAAAAACAAACATACCTACAATCTAAAAAACTCTGAAAGAAGACAGCACTTACAGGTCAAACTACATGTGTACAAACCACAACTACACTAATAGGCTAGAAGATAGCTTAAGAAAGCCCTCTACAATAAATCATGAATTGAGAAAAGCAAATAGCCAAAATGATACTTTAAGCCCATGATCACCTATCTTTGCAGTACAGAGAAGCAGACTTCTTCCAAAACAAACAAACAAACAAACAAACAAACGTGGGCAGGGTATCTATCCTCAAGGACAGAATATGTAGATGTACTATGGGGCCAGATGTTTGGGTGCACAGAGGTTCAGAACTAGTTTGGGATCCCTTGCTTTTGGCAGTTGTGTTCCCCTGCAAATATGTAAATATTCTGATCAAACTGTTGAGTTTTATCTCACAGGTGAAGCCAGGTCTGCACAGAAAGCTTCACATCACAGCAGCAAAAGAACCAGACATCACTGCTCTTAACCCAGCCGAGGCACACACTTCGGCTTAACGAAAACATGCAAGAAAGCTGAGCCTGCTTTCTTAGAACTAGGAATTTAGGGACATACCAAGTGTTCATGACACCAGGAAATGCATGAAGCAGAGAAAGCTTACATCATCTGCCCTTCTAGACCCATGATGTAATGGTGTTTTTAGAGAAGATATTAACTTTAGTAAGAAGGTATTTTCTGTTTACATCCTCTATAAATACCCCTACATTTACACCAGGTGGTTAGAGAAGTCTGGGGAGTCTCGTTTGCCTGATGTATGACTGTTAAAGGGACATTTCCTTACAAAACCCTAAATCGGTTTTCCTATTTGCATATCCCAGGTTTATTCAGGGATGCTCAAGTTAAGAATCACAGGTGGGTTGCTCAGTAAATCAGGGCTCCCAGAAGAGTAGGCTCTGTGATGCTTCCTGGAATTTACCGCCGCACTTTCCCAGCATGTTTGAATGCAGATGACTCCAACTTGATCATAAAGTTATAAATCAAAGTATCTCGGAAGAACATTAGTCTATTTTAGTACTTTCGTAGCTTACTCTATGTAAAATGAAGGGCTAATTCTACACTTTTTTTTTTAAGCAAGGGCTTGAATTTTTTTTTTTTAGTGAATGTCATCAGTTTATAGAAAAATACAAAATACTGTGTAATCTAATTTGGACTAACAAATTCAAGGTGCTACAAGAAACAAAAAGCGTAAGACATACAAGCCAAAATGCACCCTTATTTAAAGTTACACGCACATACCTTGGCCAAATGATTAACTAAATCACTTAATAATAGGCCAGTTTTAATCAAATAACAGGCAAATGAAACCAGTCGGTCCTCAATTCCAGTGCTGTCTCAGATTAAGGGGGTGTGACCTTGCACAAATTACCCCAATCTTTCCAGACCTCAGTTTCTTCACCGAGGGAGACTGCAGATTGCTTCTCCTTTGTCCAGCTGCAGAGAGAGGATGGCTGCAAAGCACTTCCAATAGTGCCCGGGCACAGAGGTAGTCCCTATCCCCTCAAACGTTAGCCGGTTGCCGATGACCGCACCCCCCCCTTCCGCCCCCACGTCCTTCCCATCCCAGATTCAAAACGCACGAAGCCAAACTCTTTTAACCCCAACACAAAGAAAGTGCTTCGATTCCACAAAGGTGTCTGGGACTCCAGGCTGCGGGGCCCTCCGGGTCCTCAAATGAATGAATGAGCGTCCGGCAGTGGCTGGGCGAGTAGCTGTCCCTAACGAGCACCTCTGCCGACTAGAAGGTAACTGTCTCCCTGCATCAATTAAACACCCACAAGTGCACCCGGAGCCAGGCACGCCGGCCGTGCACACTTTCCCCGACAGAGCGGGCGCTGGGCGGTCTTGGGCGCCCACGGGCGGCCTTCATTCATTCTCCAGCCGCAGCGCCAGCGGCTGCCGCGGAGTCTCGGGCCGCGGCCCCACCCCCAGGTCTCCCGGCTCGGCCCGGGGTCTCTGACCTGCGCCGCGCACCCCCGCGGGAGCTTGTCAGCGCAACAAGCGAGAGGGGCGGGAGAGCGGGCCCACCACAGACCCGAAGCTGCAGCCACCTGTCCCTTCCGACGGCCCAGGCCCGCCTCGGCTCCCCGGGGCCCCGCCAGCCCTAGCCGAGCCCCGCCGGAGCCAGCGCGCGATGAGGGCGAGGGAGACGCTCCCTGAACCCCCTTTCCCGGACCCCCGACTCGGCCAACGCGCCTCACAGTGCCCCGCAGGCTGAGGTCACGCTGCCAGGGCTGCCCCGAAAAGCCCACAAGGAAAAGAGGGGGACATATCCCCGTACTCACCCACCGTCTACTCCCCCTCAGCTGTTTACCTCACAGTCCCTCCAGCCTACAGGGCGCCGCCATCTTGGACGCGCAGCACCTCCCCCTGGCGTGATGCGTCTCCAAACGGCGGAGGCCTCCGCCATGAAAAAGAGTCCCTATCCGGATGCCTCCTACACTCCGAGCTTAATGCCTGATGGCCAAAGTCATCTGCTTCTCCAGATAGAACAGGATATCCCACTTGTGACGATACAAGCTGGCCTAGAAAAATAGAACCGAAAGGGATTTTTAATGTGGGGGCGGGGACGGCGGAAGGATCGCGAAGGTTAAAGGCCCACTGAGAGATCTTGTGACTCTGAAGGAGGCCGAAAGAAGGGCCGGCGCGGAGGGCGGAGCCACGCGAGCGATCGAGGGGTGGGGCGGGGAGGGGCGGCCACGTGACGGTGACAGGCGGCGCGCGCTTGGAGTAAGCTTGGGCACAAACAAGCGGACCTGGCGAGGTGCAGTGGGAACGCGGGGCCATCTCAGACGGGTGCCTCTACCTTTGGCACACCTGCCTCCTTTGGGATCTCCCAGTGTGCGTTCCTAGTTCCCAAGGAGTCGCTGGGGTTGGCGTGGATGGACGACCTGTCAATCACAGCAGAAGTGAGCCTGCGGAGTGGCTTCACACCTAGTGACTTAGAGAGGCCAGCCCTAGTCACAGGAGGCAGTTGTAAAGTCGGAATACCTCGATTTAATTGCAGGCCGTGACTTGTTGTCTAGTCTTATCGAGCCTCAGTTTCTTCCTCTGAAATGGCGAATCAAGGAAGCAAAGAGATCCAGCGTGTGAAGTACTTAAACACTGGGTCTCATGCCTAGTGAGTGCTCACTGCAGGATGGACAGAGAGAAAAAGAGAGGGGGGGAGACAGAAACAGAGAGAAAGAGAGAGAGAGAGAGAGAGGGCGCCAGATCTCATTCCAGATGGTTGTGAGCCACCATGTGGTTGCTGGAAATTGAACTCAGGACCTCTGGAAGAGCAGCCAGTGCTCTTAACCGCTGAGCCATCTCTCCAGCCCTGTATTTGATTTTTTATTAGCTTTTGTTTACATTGTTTTTATCTTTTTTATATTTCTTTTTGTTATTGTTGTTTGTTTTGTTTGACAGGGTTTTTCTGTGTAGCCTTGACTGTCCTGGAACTCACTCTGTAGACCAGGCTGGCCTCCATCTCAGAGATGTGCCTGCCTCTGCCTCCCAAGAGCTGGGATTAAGGACATGTGCCACCGCTGCCCAGTATTGATTTTTGTTTGGTTGGTTTTTGATTTTTATTATATTTAAACTTACATAATGAGCAATAGTGAAAGATGACAGGCAGAAACTGGAGAGATCGCTCTGCCATTAAGAACATTTGTTGCTCTTGTAGAGGACCAGGGTTAGGGTCCCAGAACACATACCTCCAGTACCAAGGATCCAATGCCCTCTCCTGACTTCCTTGGGAATCAGGAACGCACACCTGAACATACATACAGGGAGGCACTCATCCACATACCTAAGATGGTGGTGGTGATGATGATGAGAGGAGGAGGGATGAAAGGCACCCAAGTCAAAATAAAAATGAAACACAACGCAGTTAAATGTGTAGAAATATGCAAAAAAAGTACAAGGCTCAGTAGCACTCTGGGGGTTTTCTTTACTCTGAGGCAGGGTGTCAGGCTATGCAGCCCAGGCTAGCTTTGAACTAGAGATTCTCTTGATCAGTCCTCCCACCTGCTTGGGCTGCAGAAGTACACCACTGTCCTACTTCACTGCTGCTGATGCGATGAAGACCACAGCCAAAAGCAGCTGAGGGAGGAAAGGGTTGATGCACATTTGCAGTCATCGTGACAAGAAGTCCTAGCAGGGACTCCTGACAGAACCTTGAGGAACAATGCTTCTTTGCTTGCTTACGGCTCCCTCAGGTTGGTATTTTATATAATCCTGGACCACATACTCAGAAAAGACACCCACAATGAGCTGAGCCCTCAACTCCAATTACATCAAAAATGAAGGCATTTTCTCAGTTGAGATTCCCTCTTCCCCAGTGACATAAAAACTAGCCAGCACAACTGCTTATTCTCAGTTTGGAGTTTATATAAAAGCTAGTTTTTGTGAAGTAGAAATAGAAGAGGTGGCTGCAAAGAGAAAGACATTCCCGACTCGGAACCAGAAGACCATGACCCTTCTTCCAGTAAGAAAATGCCTGGTGAGTTGTGGGAATAAGTTTAGGGACTTACTGGGTCCCAATTCGAGACAGGCTGGAAGAAGAGAACAGGTGTTTAAGTAGCCATACAGTGAATGGGGCTGTCAGGACGTTGAAGCCCCAAATGGGCTCTGCTAGGGCTAATGTGAGACGCTTGGTGGGGTCCTCTATGAGGATAAGAAAAGTGCGCTCTTTCTAGGCCACCAGCTGCATGAGCAGAGTCCAGGATCTGTCTTGCCTTTCTCACATACCTCCATCTCTCCTGGAGTTCTTTGCACAGTGAACAGTCTTTATAGCATGACGTATTGGGTCACTGGGAGGGTAGGAATGATGCTGGGGATGTCGCTAGTCAGATATTGTCACAGAGGCAGATGGAAGAAGTTCTAGATCCCAGCCGGAGTTTGGATGCAGGTTTCCACCACCATGCTCACTGGGCAAGTCTTCGCCTCCTCACCCACACAACCGAGGGTGATGCCTGAAGGAGTGGGAGCAGAGCCGGCCTGACATTCAAATGTGGAAAGTGCAGGGCCTCATTCGGGCTTTGTCAGCTTGGTTCATCCTGTGTTCGCTGTGGGCAGAGCATCCATTAGTCCTCAGGGCTAGTCCACCAAGTGCCAGATTCTTCTGCTGCCCAAGCACAGGCCCCTGGGGGAAGGGTCAGGGAAAGAGGGGAGGGGAGGGCTTGCAATTCTCTCGCTTTCATTCGTCCCTAAACCATTTCACAAGAGTGGATTCTTGCCTCACACCAGTGTGAGGATTCATATATGCTCAGAGATTGCTGAGACCACCAGTAGCTGGGAGACTTACAGTGACAAAGGAATGGAGTGGGGGAACCAGAAGGGCCCCCTCCCTGCCCTGCTTCCCTCGGCTTGCTGACCTCATGGGGCTGGAATGTTCTCCTAGGAAGGGGGGGACAGTGAAGAGCTGAACTCAAGGATGCTGGCTCTCAAGAGAGGCCACATTGTTTCTGTTTGTACAGGGTCTGGAAGAACAGTAATTGTTACCAGGATATGGACCACAGGAACTGCGGAGGGGAGGCCAAGAAGGCAGGCAGAGATTGACAGCCTTGCCAGGAGGTGTTTTTACCAATCTGGGCTTTCCTAGATTGATTTTTATTACTGAAAAGCTGTTCATCAGACCATCTCTTTCCACACAGTACCCTAGAGCCTTCCTGGGGCAGGGTTTCCTAACTGTGTCCTGTGTAGGCCGATGGTGCCGACTCGGTGCCTACAGCAGGCATCTGTCACCTTATTCTGGGCCGCATCTCTCCTTTCTTCTGAGGAGCTGAATTGCCCTTCCTCTGCTCTTGTCCTGGTGGCCCTGGCCATCACACTACATCCAGACCACCAAATACAGATCAGGCAGGCCTCGCCAATAAAAGATGCCTATCATGTAGCTAAACCAATTGGCCCCTGCTTGAACATGTGATGTGAGCTATTGTATAGAACTCTCCTGCAGCACAGCTGCCTTCTTTCTATGACCTGCTTATAAAAGACCATCCCATCTGTGGATGTGACTTGGCACTCCTTCCTAGAAGGAGTGAGCAGAGAGGGCCACTGGAACATCACCTGAGTATCTAGCTACTCCTTCCAGCCAGTTGTATGCCCTTTACTTGAGTTGCCCGTGGCTTGGGATCTCAGAGAAGGGTTAGAAAATATAAGCTAGGAAGACTACAGGAGAAGGGTTCCATCTACACAGGCATGGAGGAGCCATCTTCCGTGCTGGGTGCATACCTTCCGTCATGGCTATTTTAGGGTTACCCATGCTTCTGCTTGTAACCCCTCACCCAATGCTCTCGTAAGCCTAGTAAACTCAATGGTTCACTACAGTGAACTTTTGGTGGAGCCTAACTTTGGTTTGTTCTTGAGCGTTTAGAAGGAGGTTTGGGAAACATTGCTTAGTCTCCCAAGGAGAAAATTCTTGTGAAGGAGTCTAACCAACAAAACTGCTTCCCTGGTGTTTCAATACAGGTATGCTAAAGGTATGCTTCTTCTTCTGTTGACTAAACCAGGAAAGGGAGTCTGTGGCCTCCCATTTTCTTTGTACTGTGTAGCAAGCTGTCCAAGAATTCTGGCCTAAAAAAAAGAGTCACCAAGGGCCTAGGAGATCATTTTTGCCATGTAAGCATGAGGGTTTGCATCCAATCCCCAAAACCCACATGAAAAAGCCAGACATGGTGACACACCCTTGTGATCTCATCCCTTGAGGCAGAAGAGGGCTGGATAGAAAGGCCATACAGCGCTGGTCCCTGTGGAGTTGGAGCCAGCCACAGCTCCACAGCATCCTGGACAGCAGAGAGGAAGCCACCAAGAGTCTTGCTGGAGGTGACTAGATCTGAAGAGCAGATCCGAAGCCCTACAGAGAAGGACAACTGTAGGACACGGGCCATTGACTGTGAGGCCTGGCTGTGCCTTCTGCTTCAGTGTGAATCACGCAAGCGTGTTTCCTCAATCTGTTTCTTTTACTGACATGGGCTTCCAACAAGCAGCTCAGAACCTTCCCTTTGCCTAGATCACGTTTCTGAGACTCAAGCTCCAAGCTGATAGCTATGAGGAGGTCTTCTCAGGACCTCCATGATAGCACAAGATAAGGGCTGCTCTGAGCTTGCTCCTATGCCCGAGTGCACTTCTGTGTCTTCATTCTGGCTCTGGACTCGCGGAGAATGTGGTATGGGTCCATCTCCCACCTAATTTATCCGTTCTTCTGTTCCCAGTCAGTGGGACAACCCCCTTTAAACAACTCAGGTCAACGTAAAAAACCTGGGACAGGGCTGGTTAAGAGTGTTGACTGCCCCTTCAGAGAATAGATAAGCAGAATAGATAAGCAGCACCTATGCTGGGTGCCTCACAGCTCCCTGTAACTTCAGGGGATTCAACACCTTCTTCTGTCATCCTTGGACACTTACACTCACATGTGCACACACAAATAAAAACGAATCTTTCTTG